CCCTGAGTTTTCTCATGTGTGGAACGGGGTTAATGACGGTGGCACTCACATCATAAAGTAGGGTCTAAAATGAATTTCTCTAGGCAAAGCATCTAGAGGACGGTCTGGTTGACAGAAAGTGTTATATAAGAACATCCAGTGCCCACAGCTTCCCAACACTTGTTATTATATTATCAAATTGCATATTTTCGGAGTCTGTATGAGCCAATATTGTTTTGCCTTTTTTTATTTTGCATTTTCCCAATCACTTGTGAGGTTCAGATTCTTGTCCCTTTGTTGCTTTTTTGGATTATTTTCTTCTGTGATATGCCGTCCTCCTTGGCTGATTAAAAAAAATTTTTTTTTGTCTTATTTGTAATTGTTGATCTTGTGGTATATTGATCTTTTATTTTTAAAATTTTTTATCTTATTTTAAGATTTTTATTTATTTATTCATGAGAGCCAGAGAGGCAGAAACATAGGTAGAGGGAGAAGCAGGCTCCCTGGGAGCCTGATGCGGAACTCTATCCCAGGACCTGAGCCAAAGGCAGATTCTCAACCACTGAGCCACCCAGGTGCCCCATATTGATCCTGTATGTGTTGCAGATGTTTTTCTAGAATCTTATCTTTTAGCTTTTCTTCTTAATATCTTTTTCCATGCAAATGTTTTATTTTTGATTCAAATTAAAATTTGTTAGTCTTTTTCTTTATGGTTTTTTACTTGAACCATAAATATTCCATATTTTCTTCTTTCTTAAGTTCTTTCTTTAAAAGTTTATGTCCTATATTATCTATTGATGTTGTAGAATAATAACACATATATGCCTATATCTACATAATAACATAGGTGCCTGAAAAATTACTTCAAAACTTAACAACTTCAAACAAGATATATTTTTTATCTCACACTTTCTGTGGGTCAGTAATTTCAGCATGACAGTATGTATTGATTTTATTCACGACACTTCTAACACCAAATGAGGCTTTTTCCTCCTGATACCAAGTATGTGATCTCCTCCAATACCACTTTTCCAGCCCTCTGATACTGACTACCTGCAGTTAGCATCAGATTACACAGGTTTAAGGGTACAGACCTGCAAGAATGCCCCCACTTCAGATACCAATCTCAAGGCTTGGTCTCCTGTACTGATGGGCTCTAAGTCATGGTTTCTGTGGTCCTTTTCTCAGGACAGAGTATGGGAATATGCCACTTTCCTAGTAGCTGGATATGCTCACCAACTTAGAAGCTTGCTGAACCTGTGGTTTTGGGGGTTTTATGGAGGTTTCATTTCTTAGGCATGATTGACTAGTTTACTGTTGAGTGACTGAATTTAGGAAGTGGAGCTAAGTTCCAGTCTTGTAATCACATTGTTTGTTTCTCTGGCAACCAGCCCCCATTCTGCAGTTGTATGGGGGCCTGGGCTAACAGTCCTCTCATTAGCACACAAACAACTAATCACTGTGGAGATCCTAAGATTTTCGAAGTTCTTTGTACTAGGAACTGGGACCAAAAACCAAATATATATCTTTTGTCATATCACTACTGGGTACTTGGTTTCACAGTCTCTCATACTATAATCAAGACTATAATCAAGTTGTAAGTCAGGGTGGCATCTGATTTGGAGGCTCGAGTGGGGAAGGATGCACTTCTAAGCTCACTTACTGAGTTGTTCACAGATTCATTTCTAGAAGGGCTGATCAGATGAGATCCTCATCTGATGAGTTCCTACCTGTCTGCTCATGTAAGATTCTTACTTATTAGTTTCTTGCCACATGGGCTTTCTCATCATGCCACTTGTTTTATCAGAGTCGTCAGAGGATGGATTCTGTTAGCAAGGTGGAAGTCAGATGTAGTCTAATTGTAAAAGTGCAGTGTAGTCACTTTTGCTGCATTTTCTTTAGAAACAATTCCTGAGGCCAGGCCATGCTCAAGGGCAGGGCACTTGATAAAGGGACATGAATACCTACCTGGTGTGTAATAAGAAATTTGGCTGACCTTTGTCTGATTCCTGAGAGGTACCTTTAAACCCTTGGAATTACCTGTGTGACAGGAGTGTCTTTATTTTTCATCATGGGCCACGGGGACTACACTTTATGCTAATGAGTTGATTCATGTAGGCCCTGAATACTTTGTGCAAATGAGGTATCTCAAGATGGGACTATCCATGTGAGAAAGACCAACCATGTGATTAGAGGGTTGTGGCTTTGAACAGGTGACCTTGAGGAAGGGTAAGGATCTAGAGATTGAGTTCAGCAATGTGGTCTGTGTTTCAGTAAATCATGTGTAAATAATGAAGCCTCAGTATAAACTCTGGACACTGAGAATTTGGTGAGCATCCTTGGTTTGCAGTATTCTTGAGTATTGTCAATGTTGTGGCTGGGAGTAGATGCTGTTCACAGTTCACAAGAAGTCATGTGTTTTAGTACCAAATGGGTTTCATGGCTGGCCATTTTGGCACAAAAAACAGGACTTTCAAGATAATATTGCATTCTTTTCTGAATTCTGTTGTTTCTGTGGTGGTTGATCTGGCTTTTAGTTTCTAGATGCTTTTATAGTTTCCCTTTGCATTTAGTATATTATAGTTTTAGTCTAATGTGTTGAGGTGTATAGTTGTGAGTTTTTCAGCTTTGGGGTCTTTAGATACTGTTTCTCCATTACTCTCTTTATCTTTTTGAGAAACTATAAGCAGGTATACATTAGATCTTTTTAACACTATATGTTTATTAACCTCTTCCTTAGGTTTTCCTTCTCTTCTATGCTGCATTTTTTTTTTTTTTTTAATTTAGTCCTGAGAGAGGGAGGCAGAGACACAGGCAGAGGGAGAAGCAGGTTCTATGCAGTGAGTCTGATGTGGGACTCAATCTCGGGTCTCCAGGATCAGACCCTGGGCTGAGCCACCAGGGATCCCTACTTATTTATTTTAGAGAGAGAGAGCATGGGGGATGCGGGAGCAGAGGGAGAGAGATTCCTCAAGCAGACTCCCAGCTGAGCACAGAACTCCATCTCAGGACCGTGAGATCATTACCTGAGCCAAAATCAAGAGCCGACCCCTCAGCTGACTGAGCCACCCAGGCACCCTGCTTCTACTAAAATGTGTTTAAGAGGGATCCCTGGGTGGCACAGCGGTTTGGCGCCTGCCTTTGGCCCAGGGCGCGATCCTGAAGACCCGGGATCGAATCCCACGTCGGGCTCCCGGTGCATGGAGCCTGCTTCTCCCTCTGCCTGTGGCTCTGCCTCTCTCTCTCTCTCTCTCTCTGACTATCATAAATAAATAAAAATTTAAAAAAATAAAACGTGTTTAAGAAAAGTATATAGATGAGGCTATATAATGGTTAGAACAACCTCCCTCATGCTTCTTCCCTGTTAATAAAAGTGATTCACATCTTATTAAACAGGACCATATTATTACAGGAATCGCTGACACTGGAGGATGTGGCTGTGGACTTCACCTGGGAGGAGTGGCAGCTCCTGGGCCCCGCCCAGAAGAACCTGTACCGGGACGTGATGTTGGAGAACTATAGGAACCTGGTGTCAGTGGGTGAGGACAGCTTCCCTGTGTCACTTAGAGGTGCCTAGTCACTGGCTTTTCCTCTATCACTTGATGAAAGCTTTGCAATCATTGTGGTCTTCAGAAGAGTCTCCTATCTTGGCCCTAAACAAAGGGGGATAATCTTTTCTGTGCTGAAAGAGAACCTTTACTTTGCATGTGAGAAATTATTTTGTCTCTAAAATGTAATATTTTCTCATCTTAACCTATTATACCCAAGTCTTTTGTTGTTTCTTTTGAATAGGGTGTCAGGCTACCAAACCAGATGCACTGTCCAAGTTGGAACACAGAGATGAGCCATGGATAACAGAGGATGAAATCCAGAGTAGAACCCATCCAGGTGAGTGAGTGAGAACCAGCAAGGGGAGTGACTGAAAAAGTTATATTCTAGTCATTAAGAGAAAGTGTCATATTCTAGTCATTAAGAGAATGTGTCAGGATACCTTAATAGCTCCTCCACATATTCCTTTCCCCAGATGAGAACTTTCTTTGTATTTAACTTTGAATATGCTTCTATCTCTTCCTGAGTCTGATACTTACTTCATCTTACATCTTTATCGTTTTCTTTTAAACTGGAATCATAGTCAGTAGTAAAGAGCCACTTCCACATCATCTTTAAAACACTTTTATTCCAAGGGCACTTGGGTAGCTCAGTGGTTGAGCATCTGCCTTTGACTCGGGTCATGATCCTGAGATCCTAGGATCAAGTCTGCATCAGGCTCCCTGCTTCTCCCTCTCCCTATGTTACTGCCCCCCCCCCCGTCTCTCATGAATAAATAACTAAAACCTTAAACACTTATTCCATGCCATCTTCTTGAGAGAATTTGTTATTCTCTTCTTTTCCTAGGATTTGGGAAGCTTGATAGTCATTTCCAAGAGGACTCTCAAAACCACAGATTTCTGAAGAGCACACAACAATATGGGGAACAGTGTACATTTAGAAATACTGTTCATCTGAGCAAAATAAATTTTGCCATAACACAAAATCATGTGTTTGACTTAAGCAGAAAGGCTTTGAAATCAAGTTTGAGTTTAGCTAACCAGAAGAGAAAATATGAAATAAAGAAGGCCACTGAGTTTAATGGTGATGAGAAATATTTTCTACATGGTAATCACGAACATTTGTATTCTGGAATGCAATTCCTTGAAAATGCAAAACATATCAGCACTAAATTCCAAGTCCTTAAGCATCAGAAGACTCATAAAATGGAGAAACCCCATACATGTGTGGAATGTGAGAAAACCTGCATTAGGAAGTCTCAGCTCATTTACCATGAGAGCAGTCATAGAGGAGAAAAACCCCACGGGTGTGATCCATGTGGTAGATCCTTCTCCAGAAATATCATGTTCACTAAACATCAGAAAACTCCTACGCAAGACAAAGTCTTTATAACCAATGAATACAGAAAAGGCTCTAGTGTGAAGAGGAGTCTCACTGTGCCTCAGCAAACCCAAACAGCAGAGACATCCTACACATGCAGTGAGTGTGGAAAAGGCTTCACCATGAAGCGCTATCTGATTGCCCATCAGCGAACTCATAGTGGAGAGAAACCGTATGTGTGCAGCGAATGTGGAAAAGGCTTCACTGTAAAGAGTAATCTCATTGTGCATCAGCGAACTCATACAGGGGAGAAACCCTATATATGCACTGAATGCGGAAAAGGCTTCACCATGAAGCGCTATCTTGTTGTACATCAACGAACTCATACTGGAGAGAAACCCTATGTATGTAGTGAATGTGGAAAAGGCTTTACCGTGAAGAGTAATCTCATCGTACATCAGCGATCTCATACTGGGGAAAAATCTTACATGTGTAGTGAATGTGGAAAAGCGTTCACCACAAAGCGTACCCTGATTATACATCAGCGAACTCACACAGGAGAGAAGTCTTACTTATGTAGTCAATGTGGAAAAGGCTTCACCACAAAGCGTACCCTGATTATACATCAGCGGACTCACACAGGAGAGAAACCCTATGAATGCAGTGAGTGTGGTAAAGCCTTCAGCCAGAAGATATGCCTCATACAACATGAGAGATGTCATACAGGAAAGACTCCATTTGTGTGTACTGAGTGTGGAAAGTCGTATTCTCACAAATATGGTCTCATTACCCATCAGAGAATTCACACGGGAGAGAAACCCTATGAGTGCAATGAATGTGGAAAAGCCTTTACCACAAAGTCAGTACTCAACGTCCATCAAAGAACTCATACAGGAGAGAGACCATATGGATGTAGTGATTGTGAGAAAGCCTTCTCCCACTTGTCAAACCTTGTTAAACATAAGAAAATGCACACAAAAGAAATGAGTAGATTGAGTCAGGTTGGAAGTTCCTTTAACACAGAGTCACAGCTCATTACTTATGAGTGAACTCCTACAAAACAGTATCCCTGTGAATGTGATGACTGTGGCAACCAAGGCTTCATTAACCATCAGTGCTTCCAGGAGATTGGAATGTGATCATAGTACTGCCGGTTGTCAGATGTGTGCCCTGCAGAGATTACTTGTCCAGGAGGTAAATCTGGTGGCTACAGTGAAAGTGGTGTAGTGCCTTTAGTGATCCTTACCTCATATTTTCTGTCAGCGAAAACATGTTTGAAAAACTGATACATTCAACATGGAAATGCATTGAGCAAAACTTTCTAGCTTTATTATATTCTGAAAAGTGTGTACTGATACAAATTCTGTGAATGCGGAGACTAGGAAGGCCTTCAGTGGGAAGGTAGACTTTATTATCAGGGATCGTCCTAAATCATCAGTGAGCTTATTGTTCATAGAAATAGGATTTTTTAAAAAATGATGATCATAGGAAAGCTTTTATCCAGAAAGAAGACCTCTGTGTCAGAATTCACACTGGAGAAAAACTTTTATGGCAGGATGTCAGTGATACATTCTGCTTTGTTTTGTCAGGAAATGATACAGAAATTAAAACTTCGTGAACATGCTAACTGGAGAGTACCTGTAGTCAAATATCCGAGAACTCATGAAGGAATTAAGTCCTGTGAAAGTGGTAAATGTTGGGAGTGCTTTAATGTTACAAGTCAGACCTCATTAGAAATCAGATAATTCACCTGATGTACATTTTTTTTTTAAATTTTTTATTTATTTATGATAGTCACAGAGAGACAGAGAGAGAGGCAAAGACACAGGCAGAGGGAGAAGCAGGCTCCATGCACTGGGAGCCCGACGTGGGATTCGATCCCGGGTCTCTAGGATCGCGCCCTGGGCCAAAGGCAGGCGCCAAACCACTGCGCCACCCAGGGATCCCCCTGATGTACATTTTCAAATGATACTTGAAACCCTCATCTAGTGTCTTTTTCAGTAATTCCATAATTTTAAAAAATAGTCTGCTTCCTCATCACTGATTAATATTTATTATTACATACAATGCAGAGTATTGTGTGGAGTGTTCTAGGACTACCCTGTATTATATGATTTTTTTTTTTTACCTTTCCTTGGCTCTAAACTTAATTGTAAATTTAGCATATTGAGGTAGTTTAAAGGGAAACTGAATGTTTTAAATTTATAAAATAATAGGTATTTGTACTTAACTAAGTTTGTAAATATGACCAAATATTTTATAAAACCACCTTCCAATTTATTTTTATAAAATGTTTAATTTGGAATCATTTTAACTTATAAGAAACTGCAAAATAGTCCAGAGATCCTTGGTATCCTTTACCTAATATCTCCCAATAAAAACATTTATATAAACCACATCTTATTTTTGAATCCAGGAAAATGACATTGGTAACATACCATTAGCTAAACCCTTAACCTTATTTGGATTTCATTAGATTTTCATGTTTTTTTTTAATATTGTAATTCTAAGTTTTATTACATATACAACTATGATACAAAGCTGTAATCAACAGACTCCCTCATTATACTTTTTTTTTAAATTTTTATTCATTTATGATAGTCACACACAGAGAGAGAGAGAGAGAGGCAGAGACACAGGCAGAGGGAGAAGCAGGCTCCATGCAGGGAGCCCGACGACTCGATCCTGGGTCTCCAGGATCAGGCCTTGTACTGAAGGTGGTGCTAAACTGCTGAGCCACCCGGGCTGCCCTCAAAATCTTTTTAAAAAAAAATACACTTGGGTGGGACACCTGGGTGGCTCAGTGGTTTAGCGCCTGCTTTCGGCCCAGGGCATGATCCCAGAGTCCCGGGATCGAGTCCCACGTCGGGCTCCCGGTGCATGGAGCCTGCTTCTCCCTCTGCCTGTGTCTCTGCCTCTCTCTCTCTCTCACTGTGTGCCTATCATAAATAAATAAAAATTTAAAAAAAAATTAAAAAAAAATTCACATATACGTGAACCCATACAGTTCAAACCCATGTTGCTCAAGGGTCAACTGTATATTTTATTTTAGCCATTCTACTAGCAACATAGGAGACTCAGTTGCTCTCCATACTCCCCAGCACTTGGTATTTTTGCTGTATTTTACAGTAACTGTTCTCTTGGTATATAGTAGTAAACAATCTTGAGCTTTACTTTCATTTCCCTAATGGCCAATTATGTTCAACACATCACTATTATTAGACTTATTTCCTTTTTTTTTTTTTTTAGACATTTCTCTTGTACCTTTTGACTGCCTTTACCTTCATCCACAATGTACCCCCACCAATTTTCCTCTAGGAGTTTTTTTTTTTTTCTTTTAGATTCCACATATAAGTGAGGTCATACAGTACTGAACTTTCTCTGACTTATTTCACTTAACGTAATACCCTCAGGGTCTATTCATGAGTTATAAATGGCAGGATTTTCTCTTTTATGGCTGAATAACATTCAGTTCTGTACCATGTTTTCTTTATTCATTCATTTGTATAGGACACTTAGGGTTTGATGCTATGGCTATTGTAAATAATGCCTCAATGAACATGGGAAAACAGCTGTCCTTTTGAGAAAGTGAGTTCATTTCCTTTGGGTAAATACAAATAGAGTTAGTGCATCAGGTGGTAGTTTTAATTTTATGAGGAACCTTCATACTGTTTTCCATAGTGGCTGCATCAGTTCACAGTGTCCATTCTTTTTATGTCTGTATGCTGTTCATGGAGGGACATTTATGATTTATTTAACAAATCACCTACTGGGGGCACTTGGGTGGCTCAGTGATTGAGCACCTGCCTTCTGCTCTGGGAGTGATCCTGGGGTCCTGGGATTGAGACTTGTATCAGGCTCCCTCTGGGGAGCCAGCTTCTCCCTCTGCCTAAGTCTTTGCCTCTCTCTGGTGTGTCTCTCATGAATAAGTGAATTTTTTAAAAAATCTTAAAAAAAAGGTAACTAATACCAATATGAAGCATATCAGTAGGTGACTTGTTTTTTGGGTTTTTAAAAAGATTTTATTTATTCATGAGAGACACAGATGCAGAGACATAGACAGATGGAGAAGCTGGCTCCCCACACAGAACCTAATACAAGACTCAATCCCAGGACCCCAGGATCACTCCCTGAGCAGAAGACAGATGCTCAACCACTGAGCCACCCAGGCGTCCTGGTATTAGTTACCTTTGATTGCATTATGAAACTAATTTCCTAAACATTTACTAATTCTGTAGTATGGGTCTAGGGTTGGATTATCTGGTGGGGCTGCCTGGATAGAGGCTGCAAGAGCTAGCTGGCTTTTTTTATACATCTAAGCTTCCACTGGAATGGGGTGATTCAGTCTCATGCTGCAAGAGGTTAGCTTGGGCTTTATTCTAATGTGTTAGAAGACCTCCAAGAGATAGATCATAACTCCTTGAGCAAATCCAGTTTTATCCTTTTTGTTATTGTCCTATTGGACACATTGGTTGGTCACTAGGAGAGGATGCTATCCAAACGTGTGAATATAGAGATGCAAAAGTATGTTACAAGCAGAAGAGTGTTTCCTAAAATTGTCGACATTGATGCTATAATTATCCTTGTACATGTTCTCAAAAAGTTTTTCTACTGAATCATTTCTTTGAAATTCCTAGCTCAAATAGATTGTTTAAATTGGATAATTGCAGAATTGTGCTCCAAAAACATTTTAGATTTATATCCTGCCTCCCTTAAAACACATCAAATACCTAATATTAAATGTAGTGTGCATTTTTAACTCCCAACCGTGATAAGCAGGATAGTAACAGTTCATTCAAAGCTGTATGTGGTAGACAATACTTACCTACCTAGGCAGTATGAGTAAAATAAGACTTAGGCTTAGCATGATAGAATGCCTGTATCCTATGGCCTCGCCATATTCATTGTTTAACCTTTATGACTTAAGGTTAAGTTAGGTTAAAATATTTTTGTTTCATGTTTACTTTCCCTTATTTGAATGTTAGACGCATTTAAAAAATCGGGTAATTCCAATTTAAAAAGATAAATGGCTTATTGAGCTGTTTAAAAACTAGGTTGGTCTTTTTCTTATTCCTTTTATAACAGGATGTGGAGAGTGGATCTCATATTGATGGTGGGAACAGAAACTGGTACACTGCCTGGAAAAGTGTGGCAATTACTCCGTCATACGCACAAGCCGTTCTCCCCATTCTATCTTGTTTCTGGACCTTGGTCCTCAAAGCCTGCCTTCCTCTCTGGGCCCAGGGAAAGCTCCGCCTAGGTTCAAGCCCTACACACTGGGCACTAACTTTCCCCCATTTCGCTCCCCCAAGCCTATCTGGCGCGTTCCAGCGTTTTTATTTCCTAGTCAGTGACCACCATCCCTGTGCCCTCAAGGCTTCTCTGGTCGTCATTTTTTGCCCAAAAGTCGCTTCAAGCCTATTTTTGCTAGAAACTCAGTGGAGGAAGCTTCTCTGGGTGGGTTCGCCTTTTCCTAAACGAGTTCCGTGCCGGACAAATACCTCCCGGTCCTCAACAGGACAGCGCCAACTGAGCCGTCTAATTTAATTTTCCAGTCGGCTCCCTGAAAGGGATCTTCCCCTCGCCGTCTTCGTGTCATATAAGATTCAGCCTGGACACATCTGTGCGTTTCTGCCGGGACGGAAGGGCCCTTACACTTTCCCAGCCGCCCCTCGCGGGCGCCGAAGAGGCCCGTGGGCGTTCAGTAGGGCCGTGATCCAAGATGGCCGCCCCCGTGGGAAACGGCCAGGGCGCAGCCATGTTGACGCAGCGGAAAAGCCAAGAATACAGTTGTCTTTTCTCTAGAAATGCCTCAGACCCTTGTTGGCCACCGTCCTGTGGTGCGGAGGGACGCGTACGAAGTTCAGCGAAGTAAGTTCAGGCGCTGGCCGGTCGCGGTGGTGTGTGGTGAAAATCAGGTCAGCGTTGGGTGTATTCGTGGACCATGGCCGAGGAGGGTCGGTCGGCGCTCGCCTTGGGTGATGCGGCTGGGATTCCAGCGGGGGGAGGGCGTGGGTGGGCGTTCTTCCGCGCTTGGGGTGCCGGTGGCCTCGGTCAGAAGGTGCTTTCGGTGTTCGTGGTTCAAGATCTCTGGAAAACAGCGACCTGGTGCTGAGGGCACATTTGGGGGCCGTGTGCTTTCTGGGACTCGGAGATTGCGAGCCGGAGCGTGGTGGCTGTCAAGGAAGGCTGCGCGAGGTGCGGTTTTGTTCCAGGCTCAAAAATGAGCTTCTTTGGGGATTCACGTGCAGGGGTCTGTGGGGTTCATGAAGGGTGGGGTGGGGCGTCCGGGGCGCGAGTGCGAGTGTGGGTTGCGCCTGAAGGCCGGGGGCTGGGCCAGCGCGTGCTGAGCCGGGACCCCGGCCGCTGGCACCGAAGCAAGATGCGTTTGCATCCCCCTTCTGCCCTGTAGCCCCAAGTCCCGCCTTCGGTTCTAGTTTTTAAACCCTCTTTGGCAGCCAGCATCACCCATTACTTTCGAACTTTCAGAAATCAAAGTTTTTTTGGCGAGGTTAATGATCCAGCATATCTAATAGCAGTTTTATTTATTTTTAAATATTTTTATTTATTCATGAGAATACGCAGAGAGGAGAGAGAGAAACAGAGACACAGGCAGAGAGAGAAGCAGGCTCCATGCAGGGAGCCTGACGTGTGGGACTCAATCCTGGGTCTCCAGGATGACACCCTGGGCTGAAGGCGGCGCTAAACCGCTGAGCCACTGGCGCTGCCCTAATAGCAGTTTTATATTTAAAATGCAGCCTTTTATCCTTTGTCCTGCAAGATTCCTGCACATTGGATATTTTTGGATTATATTCTATATTCTATATTATATTTTTGGATTGTATTCTTGGATATTTTTTTTTCAGACTCTGACATAAGTGAAATAACATCCATTGGCACTGTTAAGTTCCGTTCCCCAGGGATAATCCTTTTCAAGATCTTAGTAGATTTCAATTTGAGGCTTTTATAATATGTGCTTAATATTGATAACCCAGGGGATCCCTGGGTGGCGCAGCGGTTTGGCGCCTGCCTTTGGCCCAGGCCGCGATCCTGGAGACCCGGGATGGAGTCCCACGTCTGGCTCCCGGTGCATGGAGCCTGCTTCTCCCTCTGCCTATGTCTCTGCCTCTCTCTCTGTGTGTGTGACTATCATTAATAAATAAAAATTAAAAAAAATATTGATAATTCAGATAAATTGTGTACCTGGTACTATCATTTTCTCTATTACATGATTTCATGTAATAAACATTTGTAAATCATTTTTGATGTATGAACCGGTGGTATTGTGAGTGGATTCCTATTCAGAGTTTGCATGTGTTTATATAAAGGTGAGATGTTTGAAGTGTTTAGGTACCATTTTGGGGGCGTTTTATTTTTTTGGGGGGGGCAGTTTATGATTATGCATTTACTCATGGGTTTGTGCCCCTGACTTTCATCTTTAATGTAGACTATTTATTTTTATCGAAGTTGTAAATGTGTTATTACTTTCTGACTCCCTTTTCCTTTTAATTTTCTTTTTTTTTAAGAAATTTTATTTTATTTTTTTATAATTTTTTTAAATTTTTATTTTATTTATGATAGTCACAAAGAGAGAGAGAGAGAGAGAGAGAGAGAGAGGCAGAGCCACAGGCAGAGGGAGAAGCAGGCTCCATGCACCGGGAGCCCGACGTGGGATTCGATCCTCGGTCTCCAGGATCGTGCCCTGGGCCAAAGGCAGGCGCTAAACCACTGCGCCACCCAGGGATCCCATCCTTATAATTTTCTATAATGTAAAAGATCCATTAACTTTAAACATTTCCTTGCTACTTGGCCACCCAACTAAATTCTTATTACAATATCTTTCTCTCCACCTAACATTTTAGTATGGAAAAATTTCAAGCATACAGAAATACTGAAAGAATGTTAAAGTACCCATCTATATACCTACCACCTAAATCCTACCATTAACGTCCTACTAGAATAGCTCTGTTACCTAACCCTCTATCCATCCTCTGTTCATGAATCATTCTTTTTTTTTTTTTTTTTAAAGAGTTGGGGAGGTGCTGAGCAAGAGGAAGAGAGAGAATCCCAAGCAGCCTCCATGCCCAATAGAGAGCCAGAAGCTGGGCTCCATCTCACAAACCTTAGATCATGACCTGAGCCAAAATCAAGAGTCAGAAGCTTAACACCCTCCAGGCGCATCATGAATCAGTCTTCTCTTTTTGGTTTTGGTGCATTTTAAAGACAGGTGCACCCCTCTACTGTTACCCTAAATGCCTCTGCAATTACTTGAGTAACAGAGTTCTAATAGCTTTTTACTCATTTCCTTTGTTTACTTAATGAACAGAGATCTTATTTACACATAGTTTTGGCTTGCTGAGAAGTGAGATGAAAGTGAATTTTGGAATGAAATGAATCTGATTTTTGTTTTAAGATGTTATTTATTGATTTGAGAGAAAAAACAAACTGGAGGGGCAGAGGGAGAGGGAGAAGCAGACTTTCCCCTGAGCGGGGAGTAGGGCAAGGGGCTCTATCCCAGGATCATGACCTGAGGTAAAGGCAAACACTTAACCAACTGAACCACCCAGGCGCCCCTGAAATGAATCTGATTTTTCAAATCCCATTGTGTGATTGGTGTGACCTGTGTCTCTTTCCTTGATAGCAAAAGGAAGTTAAAATCTCTCCCTCAGGGGTTGTTTTGAAGATTAAGTGAAATAAAATACCTAAAATAGAGATCTGTGAAGGCAGGAACCTAGTATATTTGAGTAAAAAGACTGATAATTTCCCCATATTTATGGTTTTGTGCTTTGTAAAATTTGTATTTATAACTCATTTTCTCTCTCTCTGCCTCCCCCTTTTTTTTTAAGTATGAAAACTTTCAAGCTGTGAACTACATTAATGATCTAGCAACAGAAATTTTATTTTAATTATAGAATGCTGATAATTGTCTGATTAAAACATACATGCTCTTATTTTAAATTATTTCCATGAAATATCCCGTTCTTTAACACTGACCTTGACCTATGTGTGCTTTAGGATGGTATAGAATTTTTCTATTTATTTATTTAAAAATATTTATTTATTTATTTGACGGAGGGAGAGTACAAGCAGAGGGGAGCAGCAGAGGGAGAGGGAGAAGCAGGGAGCCTGATGCAGTGCTTGATTTCAGGACCCCGGGATCATGACCAAGTCGAAGCCAGATGCTTAACTGAGCTACCTATGCACCCCTAGAATTTTTCTATTTAAACATTGTAACCAGTCACCTGCCTAAAGAGGTATATAGACATGTTAGGTGAATACTGATAATTTGCCTCTTTATATATTCAGAAGTCATCTTTGATTATATTTTCTTTTTTTTTTAAGATTTTTATTTATTGGGGATCCCTGGGTGGCGCAGCGATTTAGCGCCTGCCTTTGGCCCAGGGCGCGATCCTGGAGACCCGGGATCGAATCCCACGTCGGGCTGGTGCATGGAGCCTGCTTCTCCCTCTGCCTATGTCTCTGCCTCTCTCTCTCTCTCTGTGTGTGACTATCATAAATAAATAAAAATTAAAAAAAAAAGATTTTTATTTATTCATGAGAGACACAGAGAGGCAGACATAGGCAGAGGGGTAAGCAGGCTCCCTTTGGGGGACCCAGTTTGAGACTGGATCCCAGATCTTGAGATCATGACCCGAGTCAAAGGCAGACGCACAACCACTGAGCCACCCAGGCGTCCCTGATTATTTTTTCAAACAGTGCCATATTGGGTAATGTTTCCAGACACAAATTCTCAACTCTGCCATTATTGTGTGAAAACCACCTGACTGAGACAATAGTCAACAAATGGATCTGTGTTCTCATAAAAGTTTATTTCCAAAAACAGGTGGTCTAGGCCCTATGTTACTGACCGTGACTGAGATGATTATATGGCTTTTGTGTTCTGATTTGGAGTTGGGCAAGTAGAGCCCATGAACTGAATCTGGTCCAGTGACTGTTTTTGTTAATAAATTTTATTGGAACTCAGCCACACTATTTTTTTTAATATGATTGTTTTCAAGCTGCAATGGTAGAATTGAGTAGTTGCTACAGAAACCATGTGCATTATATATTTTTTTCTCTTTTAACATGGGAATTATGCATGTTTTAACAAATATATTAGTTTTATTCCTTACATGAGAGATTGCAAAATAACTTACAGTTTTTATTTGTCAAACTATTGTAGTAATTAGTACTTTTTTTTTTAGACAGAGAGAGGGTGCTTGTCTGTACTTGGCATTGGTGGGGTGGCGGGGTGTGATGGGGGATGCTGGGAGGGGTAGAGATGATGCAGTCTCACCACCCTGAGATCATGACTTGAGCTGAAATCAAGAGTCAGACGCTGAAGTGACTGAGTCACTCAGGCACTCCAGGAATTAGTTCTTTTATACTTTTCTCTATCTATACAGAGATCTTAGAACAGTTTTTCATTTACCCACTTCCTAATTTATATGCTTTCATGGACTATTTTAACTCTTTATGTTACCTCCTGAGAGGGATGCCTGGGTAGCTCAGTTGGTTAAGTGTCTGCCTTCAGCTCAGGTCATGATCGCAGGATCCTGGGATCAAGCCCCATGTCTGGCTCCTTGCTCAGTGGGAAGTCTGCTTCTCCCTCTTCCCCTGCCCTCCCCCACTCGTGCTCTCTCTTTCAAATAAATAAGATGTTTTTAAAAATATATAAGATAAAACCTCCTGAGAGATGATCATTATTATGTTCCTATTTGGTACTAATTTATTTTTTTAAGTTTTTTTTAAAATTTTTATTTGTTTATGATAGAGAGAGAGAGAGAGAGAGAGAGAGAGAGAGAAAGGCAGAGACAGAAGCAGGCTCCATGCACTGGGAGCCCGACGTGGGATTCGATCCTGGGTCTCCAGGATCACGCCCTGGGCCAAAGGCAGGCGCTAAACTGCTGCGCCACCCAGGGATCCCTAATTTATTATTTTTTTAAGATTTTTATCTATTTATTCATAAGAGACACACACAGAGAGAGAGAGAGAGGCAGAGACACAGGCAGAGGGAGAAGCAGGCTCCATGCAGGGAGCCTGATGTGGGACTCGATCCCGGGACTCCAGGATCATGTCCTGGGCTGAAGACAGGTGCTAAACCACTGAGCCACCCAGGCATCCCTATTTGGTACTAATTTAGACTTAAACTCTTACATATCAGTTTTGTTTCTCTCAACTCCTTCTTGCTCCTGTGGTTATGTTGGAGGATCCTTTCCTTTTGCTTGAAGAACATTCATGTTTGCTATAACACAGGCCTTCTGATGAAGAATTCTTTCTTCTTTTGTCTGAAAATGTCTTTCAGTTCTATTTCTAAGGAATATTTTTCTGACTATGCTATATAGGTTAATATTTATTACTCAACAGTATCAAGAAGTGGATGGTAATAAGAAATTAAGTAAGATGGTGCTTATTATTTGCTTTGCATGATCTTCTCAAAATCAAGTGAATGCATCCTGGGATGTAAAAAGACTTTTGAAGAGGTAGATGGACATGCATGATTTATTTTATTTTTTTAAAGCTTTATTTTTTTTTAATTCTTATTTATTTATTTATGATAGTCACACACAGAGAGAGAGAGAGAGAGGCAGAGACACAGGCAGAGGGAGAAGCAGGCTCCATGCACCGGGAGCCCGACGTGGGATTCGATCCTGGGTCTCCAGGATCGCGCCCTGGGCCAAAGGCAGGCACTAAACCGCTGTGCCACCCAGGGATCCCGACATGCATGATTTAAAAGAAAAATGTGGAGGTGCATGGTTGGCTCAGTCAGTTTAGGGTCCAACTCTTGATTTCAGCTCGAGGCATGATCATGAGATTGATCCCTGTGTTGCACTCAGTGCTGTGCTTGGCTTCTGCTTGGGATTCTCTTTTTCTCTGACCCTTTCCTGTTCACAGGTGCTCTCTCTTTCTGAATAAGTAAATAAATAAAATTTAAAAAAATAAAATTGAGATGTCTATATATTAACTGTCTGTATGCCATCTTTCCTAAAATTGATCTGCCTGAGGAGTCCCCTGCCATTGGGCATTACACTGTTCTGGGTCTCTGTCCCACATTCCCTTTGACAATCATACTATTTCTACTCTACAGAAGAAAAGCGTGCTTCTCAAACATTCTGAATGTTATGTTTTCTTGACCCAGAGCATTTAATAAAAAGACAGATCTTTTGGGGCCTTGGTTTAAAGTGGATGCTCAGCAACAGTGACAAGATCTGAGCCTAAAGATAATGTGCCACTATCTAAGTAATTTGCTTTTCAGCCTGTAGGTACTGGCTCCCCAGGAACAAAAGGGATGAAGGGAAGAAAGGAGAAGATTCCAAGACTTGGGTAATATAACATCATTTCTGGGGAAACCCTTGACTGAAAACCAAGATTTTTGAACAGAAATGTAGAGCTGATCCAGAAGAGCTAAAGACAGAGCATCCCAGTTACTAGCAATTTCCCAAAATCAGAAGATGATCCAGGCCCAGGTGATTTTTGGGTTTCTTTTATTCTTTCCTTAATTTCCCAATAGATTTGTAGAGACCTGTTTAAAAAAAAAAATCAGTGCAATTAAAAAGAAAAGTTTAAATTGAGAATAGTAGGATCTGGAGAATTCTGGGCAAAGTAGGAGCAGGAACCTATTTTTCATAGGTTTCATACTTTGTGATTCATGTTCTAATATATGTGACTGTGTGAGACCCTGTAGATCACATTAGCTAGCAGTGTGCTGCAAATATCTCTGACAGTCATCACAAGAAAATTTTGGTAAGTTACATGGTAGGCATTACTGTGATGTTTCTACTGCCAACACTTGTGACACCAAATGTGTGAGTTTTTCCACACCAATGACCAGTTCTCCAACTTTCCAGACACCACCAATCTGCAATTTGATTCAATCTTGACACTGACTACATGGAGTTACTATCGTACTTCACAAGTTTATAGGGCTCAGCCCTGCAAGACTGCCCTCATTTCAGATGCCAAGTATTCTGACTTGGCTACAAATACACAGTTTCCCACAATCCCTTTGTTGAGTTTGATAATTAACTACAGTGGCTCACATAACTCAGGAAAATACTTTACTTCACATTTTCCAGTTTATTATAAAGGATACAAAGTGGGAACAGCCAAATGGAAAAGAAGCATAGGGCAAGGTATGGGAGAATCCTTTTGCTTTATTATATGTTTTGTACAGTTACTTTTGTTTTATTAGCCACTGAAATTAGTATATATTGTCTTGTGATTCTAGCATCTGCAGTCTCTTCATTATTGGTTTTGGTATTGGCTCAAATGCTCATGGTGAATTTAGAAATGTATTCATCTACTTATAAGTATTATATAGTTCAGTACTGGCAAACAGATGCTCAAATATATATAGATTACAGATGTTCTTACACTAGCAGGAGGATTTAATGGTATGTGTAACAGAAACTTTCTTAAATTTTCAAGTTTGTTGAATAGAAGATTGCACAATGACATAATATTTTACAAGATTTCTTCTATCACAATGTATTAAGGAATAAAAATCACCCATTTCCTATATGGTGAAATGAACAGAATAATTTCCTTTATCTGTTTTTTCCATATCGCCACAAGTATTTCACTTCATTAAACATAACTGTGTTTAACAGGAATCCCTCACATTTGATGATGTGGCTGTGGACTTCACCTGGGAGGAGTGGCAGCTCCTGGCCCCTGCTCAGAAGGACCTGTACTGGGACATGATGTTGGAGAACTATAGAAACCTGGTGTCAGTGGGTAAGGACAGCTTCCCTGTGGCACTCACAGGGTGTTCTGCCAGTGGCTTTTTCTTTCTCATCTACTTAACTCTTTTGTACTTTGAATCAGTAGATTCTCAGATCCTTCTCTTGCCTCAGCCAAGAGGGTATAATATCCCCTCTTTTGAGAGAATAGCCTTGATGTCACCTGTTTAGTCCCTAAAATGTAACATTATCCCTTCTTGCTGTACCCCAGTCCATTGAGTCTTTTATCTTTTTTCATGAACAGGATATCAAGCCAGCAAACCAGATGCACTGTCCAAGTTGGAACGAGGAGGAGAACTTTCGATGATAGAAGATGAAATCCACAGTCGAATCTGCCCAGGTAAGTGAGAACTGGCAAGATGGGCAGCTGTAGTAGTATTCTGGTCAGTCAGAGAAGGCCTCAGAACCATGACAGTATCTGAGGAAATGTAAATAGTCCCTCTATCTTTCTTCCCATATGAGAACTCGTTTTCTTTGTTGAAGTTTAGAGGAAAATATGCCCCTTTTTTTAAGATCTGATCTCTGTTTACTTTATATACTTCCTGGTTTTGTTTATTTACATAGTCATCTTCCTAGGACTTTCTTTTAATATTATTTTTTAAAAGATCTATTTATTTTTAGAGAGAGAGTGTATGTGAGCGGGGGTGGGGGGGATAGCGGGAGAGGGAGACAAGAGAGAGAATCCTCAATCAGACTCCCTGCTGAGCACAGAGCCTGACACAGATCTTCATCTCACAACCCTGAGAGCATGACCGGAGTCTAAATCAAAACTGAAATCAACTGACTGAGCCACCCAGGTGCACTCTTTTTAATTTTTTTTTTAAGGATTTTTATTTTTAAGTAATCTCTACTCCCAACACAGGCCTCGAACTTAACTCTGAGATCAAGAGTTGCACCGCACACTCCAGTGACTGACCCAGCCACGTGCCACTTCCTATCATTTTCTAATCTTTCTCGTCTTCATCCACTGTGACAGTGTCTCTGCCTGTTACCACCTCTCCTGCTATGAAATTCTACCTTCCAGGCCTCTCTGTAAAGAAACAGCTTCGACTTCACTTTTTTCTTACTACTATGCTTGCCTGTCTTACTAGGAAATAATGTTTTCCTTCCATAACATCTGACCCCACCTTGGATGCTTTGTCTCCATGATAACCTGATTTTTGGTGTGCATTTAGGTCATTCTTTGACTCCCCTCCCCTACTGTTTTACCAGAAACCCCAGAGGTTCTCCATACTTCTATTTTCATTTTCTTCTCAGTTCTCATAACTCTTACAAGCTTCCTCTGTTCCCATGAATTAACCCCTTTCCCTTCTCTGTGACATCCAAATTGGCTTCTCTCTTAATATTGTCTAATCCATGTGTTTTTTCTATGGATTTTACCTTTCTTCATGGCAGCTAGCCTAAGTCTTCCCATTTTGCGTGTGAGAATGAGAATCATCTTCTCTCCATCCTTTCTAAAAAAATTTAGGTTCTCGGGACACCTGGGTGGCTCAGCAGTTAAGCGTCTGCCTTTGGCTCAAGGTGTGATCCTGGAGCCCCAGGATCGAATCTCACATCAGGCTCCCTGCGTGGAGCCTGCTTCTCCCTCTGCCTATAACTCTGCCCCTCTCTCTGTGTGTCTCTCATGAATAAATAAAATATTTAAAAAATAAAATAAAATTTAGGTTCTCTTTCATCTTGACACAACTACCTATTTTAAGTTCTCCTTATCCTGGCATTACCTCATTATCTTAAATATTCTCTACTTGGGATCCCTGGGTGGCTCAGTGGTTTAGCGCCTGCCTTTGGCCCAGGGGGCGATCCTGGAGTCCCGGGATCGAGTCCCAGGTCAGGCTCCCGGCATGGAGCCTGCTTCTCCTTCCTCCTGTGTCTCTGCCTCTCTCTCTCTCTCTCTGTCTATCACAAATAAATAAATAAATAAATCTTTAAAAAAAATGTTCTCTACTTGCTGAACTCTCTTCTTTACTTGGGGGAGTGGGAGGAGGGGAAGAAAGAGAATCTTAATCAGGTTCCATACTGGGCTTGGGGCTCAGTATCACAACCCTGAGATCATGACCTGAGCAGGAATTAAGAGTTGGATGCTTGGGGCAGCCCCAGTGGCGCAGCGGTTTAGCGCCGCCTGCAGTCTGGGGTGTGATCCTGGAGATCCAGGATCGAGTCCCACATCGGGCTCCTTGCATGGAGCCTGCTTCTCCTTCTGCCTGTGTCTCTGCCTCTCTCTCTCTGTTTGTCTCTCATGAATAAATAAATAAAATCTTAAAAAAAAAAAAAAAAGAGTTGGATGCTTAGCTAACCGAGCCATCCAGGTGCCCCTGAGCTCTCTTTGTAAAGGTTATTTGGTTAACAAGAAAATATCTTTTTTAGCATGCTACATGATTTCCAAACCAAACTAGGTCATAACTATGTCTACTTTAAATGATTTCCTTCATGGTTTTGCTAATTCACATTTTCCTTTAATTATTAGGTATTACCACTGCATGTATTTTCCTAAAGCTTTGTTTTCATATTATTTATTTATTTGTAATTTAGCCATGCCCTGACACTGGCTGTGCCCATTTATTGTTACTTATCAATTTCTAAAGTGATGGAAAAATGGAATTTTCACTAATTTTTTAAGAACTTGAGTCTGATTCTTTTTTTTTTTTTTATTCAAATGTCATTAGCATACAGTGTTACATAAGTTTTGGGTATACAGTGTAATGATTCAACAATTCTATACATTTCTCTGTGCTCATCCAGGTAAGTTGCTCTTAACTCCCCTTATCTCTTTAACCCATCCTCCCACCTACCTTCCCTCTGGCAATCATTAGTTCTCTGTATTTAAGAGTCTACTTTTTTGTTTCTTTTTCCTTTGTTCATTTGTTTTTGTTTCTTAAATTCCACATATGGGTAAAATCATAAGGTATTTGTCTTTCTCTGGCTGATATACTTCACTTAGTCTTATACTCTTTAGGTCCCTTCATGTTGTCGCACATTGTAAGATTTCCTTTTTTATGGCTGAGTAATACTCCATTGTATATATGTGTGTGTGTGTATATATATATCATCTTTATCTTTTTTTTTTCAAATTTATTGATTTTAGGAGTAGAATTTAGTCATCACTCACATATAACACCCAGTGCTCATCGCAAGTATCCTCCTTACTACCCATCACTCATTTAGGTCATGTCCCACCTACCTCCCTCCACCAGCCCTCAGTTTGTTCTCTATAGATAAGAGTCTCATGGTTTGCTTTTCTCTCTTTTTTTTTCCTTCCTGTATATTCATTTGTTTCTTAAATTCCACATATGGGGGCACCTGGGCAGTTCAGTGGTTGAGTATTTGTCTTTGGCTCAGGTTGTGGTCCTGGGGTCCTGGGATCAAATCTTCCATCAGGCTCCCTGCCTGCTTCTCCCTCTGCCTATGTCTCTGCCTCTCTCTGTGTCTCTCATGAATGTATAAATAAATTCTATAAAAAAAAAATTTGACATATGAGTGAGATCCTATGGTATTTGGTTTTCTCTGGCTGACTTATTCCACTTAGCATAATACACTCTAGCTCCATCCATGTCATTGCAAAAGGCAAGATTTCATTCTTTTTGATGGCAGTATATATATATATATATACCACATCTTCTTTATCCATTCATCAGCAGGTAGACATTTGGGCTCTTTCCATCAGTTAGCTATTGTTGAAAATGCTGCTATGAACTTTGGGGTTCACATGCCTCTTCAAATCTGTATTTTTCTATCATTTGGTTAAATACCTAGTAATGTAATTGCTGTATCATAGGGTAGTTCTATTTTTAACAATTTTTTAAAAAGATTTTACTTATTTGAGAGAGAGAACAAACCTGAGTAGGGGGAGAGGTAGAGGGAGAAGGACAAGCAGACTCCCCGCTGAGTGTGGAGCTGGACAAAGGGCTGGATCCCAGGACCCCAAGAACATGACCTGAGCTGAAGTCAGACACTTAACTGACTGATCCACCCAGCCACCCCCACATGAAGGCATATTTAAATTAGTTTTATTCTAAGCCAAGATTATGAGAGATTACAGAATGATTCATTGTTCCTTTCTCTCCTAGAAATCAGGAAAGCTGATGATCCTCGGCAGTGTCACTTGCAAAATCGAAGCATTCAGAAGAGTGTGGAACAATGCTATGAACATAATACATTTGCAAATATTCTTAATCAGAGTGAAAGACATTTCCTGTTAAAGCAAAATTATATGTTTGACTTATGTGAAAAACCTTTAAAATCAAATTTAAGTTTTGAAAGCCAGAGTATAAACTCAAAGAACTCTACTGAGTTTAATGAAAATGGAAAATCCCTTCTTCATTCTAACCATGAACAATTTTATAGTGTAATTAAATCTCCTGTAAACGTAAAACCCATCAACAATACTTCCCAGGTTTTTAAACAGCAGAGAACTCACAACATGCAGAAATCCCATGTATGTGGTGAATGTGGGAAAACCTTTGTCATGGTGTCTCAGCTTGTTGATCATCAGAGAGTTCATACTAGAGAGAAACCTCATGGGTGCAATCTGTGTGGGAAAGCATTCTCTAGAAAGTCCAGGCTAACTGAACATCAGAGAATTCATACAGGACTGAAACATTATGAATGTACTGAATGTGACAAAACATTCCTCAAGAAATCACAGTTCAGTATACACCAGAAAACTCATTTGGGACAGAAGCCTTATACGTGTAATGAATGTGGGAAAGCATTCATCAAGAAGTGTCAGCTTATTTATCATCAGCGAACTCATACAGGAGAGAAGCCTCATGGATGCAGCCTATGTGAGAAAGCCTTCTCTACAAAGTTTAGTCTCACTACGCATCAGAAAACTCATACAGGAGAAAAACCTTATATATGCAGTGAATGTGGAAAAGGCTTCATTGAGAAGAGACGTCTTGTTGCACATCACCGAACTCATACTGGTGAGAAACCTTTTATATGCAATGAATGTGGGAAAGGTTTCACCTTGAAGAACAGTCTTATCACACATCAGCAAACTCATACAGAAGAGAAATTGTATACATGTAATGAGTGTGGAAAGGGCTTTTCAATGAAGCAGTGTCTCATTGTACATCAGCGAACTCATACAGGAGAGAAACCCTACACATGCACTGAGTGTGGAAAAGGCTTCACCCTGAAGAGTCCTCTCATCAGACATCAGCGAACACATACAGGAGAGAAACCCTATGTATGTAGCGTATGTGGAAAAGGCTTTACCATGAAGAGTGATCTCATTGTACATCAGCGAACTCATACTGCAGAGAAGCCATATATATGCAATGATTGTGGGAAAGGTTTCACTGTGAAGAGCCGTCTGATTGTACATCAGCGCACTCATACAGGAGAGAAACCCTATGTATGTAGTGTTTGTGGAAAAGGCTTTCCAGCAAAGATACGACTGATAGGACATCAACGAACTCATACAGGAGAGAAGCCCTATATATGCGCTGAATGTGGAAAAGGCTTCACAGAGAAGAGTCATCTCAATGTACATAGGCGCACTCATACGGGAGAGAAACCCTATATATGTAATGAATGTGGCAAAGGCTTAACTGGGAAAAGCATGCTCATTGCACATTTGCGAACTCATACTGGGGAGAAACCGTATATATGCAATGAATGTGGAAAAGGCTTCACCATGAAGAGCACTCTAGGTATACATCAGCAAACTCATACTGGGGAGAAACCATACAAATGCAATGAGTGTGATAAAGCCTTCAGGAAGAAGACCTGCCTCATACAACATCAGAGGTTACACACCGGAAAAACTTCCTTTGCATGTACTGAATGTGGAAAATTTTCTTTGCGCAAAAATGATCTCATTACCCATCAGAGAACTCACACAGGAGAGAAACCATATGAATGCAGTGATTGTGGGAAAGCTTTCACTACAAAGTCAGGGCTCAATGTTCACCAAAGAAAACATACAGGAGAGAGGCCCTATGGCTGCAGTGATTGTGGGAAAACTTTTGCCCACTTGTCAATCCTTGTTAAACATAAGAGAATTCACAGATAGTCACTTTGGGATGACCTGTTGCCAGATGTAGGCCCTGAAGATAATAATAGTATGTAATGAAGAATAACAATGCAAAGAATGATATGTTTAGTGATCAACTGTGTCATATTTTATATAGATGAAAAAATTTACAAAACTCATACAATCAGCTTTGATGAAAATATTTTAGGACATTGTACATCTAAATCTAAAAAGTACAGATTGAAATAGATTCTATGAATGTGGCAGACTAAGAAAGCTTTCAATGGGAAGTAGACCCTTTTATATTCATCATCACAGATCATGAATGAATATTTGTTATTGGTAGAAATATAACTGTGGGAAAACCTGTGCCCAGAAGTAAGACCTTAATAGATGTCAGTTCACACTAGACAGGTACTTTCCTATGGCAATAAATATAGCAGGGCTTGAAGTAATATATTTGCCAGGAAATCCATACAGAAATAACCTAGGAACACATTCAATGTTGTAGACTTTAACAAAGTAGCAAACAAGGAAAAAAGCCTCCCAGAAGTGATGAATGAGAGCATTGTCATGTCTACACATAACAGATAATATGCCTCAGAAGCATTCAGAATAGGATATTTTAGCTATATTTCTGATTGCCTTATAATTGATTATATAAATTTTAATAGTGGCAGTTACTCTCACCCTGGATTAAATTTTAACATGTACAATACAGAGGGATTCCATACCTGTTTCATTATATATTTAACTTTTGAATTTCTCTAGTTCCAAGTTTGTTATTGCAGAATACTTGAAGTACTTCAAAATGAATATATTCATTTCATATGTATAACTCAATATGTTTAATCAAGTTTATAAGCAGCATCAATTTTGAATTTGAAATAAGTTTAGAATCACAAAAACTGGAATTTTTCAAGGATTTCCTAAGTGCTCTTCAGTCAGCTACTTCCAAAGGTAAAATCTTACATAACCAGAGTTCATTATCAAATAGAGGAAAGTGAAATTATTATAACACTTCTAACCACAGGATTTACTTGGATCTCACCAGTTTTAACACACTCATTTTTGTTTGATTTTTACATATAGTTTTAAGAAACTATCGTGTAGGTTTGTATAACCAACACCATAGAATGTCTTGTCAACACAAACTCCCTCATGCTATCCATTCATAGTCATGTATTTCTGTGACCCTAACCCCTGTTATCAGAGACAAATTTATAGAATTTGTCATTTATAGACTATGAGAATAGTAGAATCATTTAGCACTTACTCTTTAAAGTTGGCTATTTGACCTTGTAGGATATTGGTCTCTTCCCCTCGTTTGTAGCACACACTCCTGAAACCTGTGTAAATTCCTAAATGATGAGTATGCAAGGAGCATTTATTCTAATGAGGCAACTCTGGGTGGGTTTCTGGATGGCTCCTGGATGGGGACTGGTCACTGGAGAGACTAAACCATAGTTAGAACTTTGAGCCCTGGGGCACCTGGGTGGCTTAGTGGTTGAGCATCTGCCTTTGGCTCAGGTCCTGATGCCAGGGTCCTGGGATCAAATCCTGTATCAGGCTCCCTCATGGCAGTCTACTTCTCCCTCTGCCTATGTCTCTGCCTCTCTGTCATGAATCAATAAATAAAATCTTTGGCAAAATAAAAAAGAACTTTGAGCCCTACATGTCCCCCCTCCTCCAGAGAGAGGAGAAGGAAATTGAGTCAAAAATTGAGCAGTTTTAGGGGGTGCCTGGGTGGCTCCGTGGGTTGAGTGTCTTCCTTTGGCTAAGACCAGGATCCTGGGGTTTTTGGGATTGAGCCCCATGTGGAGCTCCCTGTTGCGGGGGGGAGTCTGCTTCTCCCTCTCCCTCTGCCTGCCACCCCCCCCACCGTTTGTGTTCTCCCCTCTCTTTCCCTGTGTCAAGTAAATAAATAAAATCTTTTTAAAAATTAAACAATTTTACCTGAGGAAGCCTCCATAAAATCCACAAATAGGCGAACTTTGAGGTAGGTGAACACCTCCTTGTACAGGGAGGGTAACATACCACAACTCCACAGACATAGAAGCTCTGGTGCTTGGAATGGGTCCTTTCAGGTCTCACCCTATGTATCTCTTCATCTGGCTGTTCATGTATATTCTTTATCATCGCCTTTAATAAACTGGTTCAAGTGTTCCTCTGAGTTCTGTGAGCTGCTGCCGCATATTAATGGAGGAGGAGGGGGCTGGGAGAAGCTCCCACTAGTAACCAAGTCAGGAATTAGGCAGACCTGCTGCTTGCCACTGGCATATAAAATGGAGAGGGGCACACTCTGTAGGGCTGGGCGCTTCACCTGTGGGATCTGACACTATGTCCGGGTAGACCGTGTCACAATCGAGTAACGTTGCAGGACACCCAGCTGGTGTCCTGGAAATCCCTTCAAACATCTCGTGACCAGAAGTGTCCTGTGGCAGGTGTGTGAGTAACGGAGACGCACAAGGAGAGGAAAATTCAACGGAGATCCAGCGAGGAGCACTCTGGGGTCTTTGCGTTTGAACACCGGACTTTACGGAAACGGGCCGCACTCACGAGTTTTCTCGTGGTGCCTGCCTAACGGCTCAGGGCACCAGCCGCGCGCTGTTTCTTCCAAACTCATGAGTAGAACGCGCCCCACGCCACGTCAGGCTTGGGTAGGTCCCCGTCTCTGGAAAGTAGTTAGCTCTGCGCCTGTGACCCTTTTGAGAAGAGAGGAGGCCCCGCCCGGGTGCCCTTAAGACCGTTTCATTTCTTTCCGCCAGGGAGGGTGGTGGCAGCCATGCCACTCCAGTCAGAAGCGCCAGACATGCTCCGTGAGGGAACGGTGGTCACCTCACAGCCGCGGGCTCTCAGGCCCCAAGCGAGGGGCGCGCGCTTCCTGCAGGACCCGAGGCCGCTAGTCTCCCTCCTGGCAGCCCCCGACGTCCCCATCGCTGGCCCGCGGGGCGCGGAGAGCCTAGCAGTCCGACGCAGTTGGGAGAGCGCGCTGGGGGTCTGGTGCGCCCAACTGGGTGTGGGTCTCAAGCAAGGGGCCCGGCGGGTAAAGAGAGAACGCGCGTGAAGACGTCCCCAGCGTTTGGGGGTTTATTTGGCTTCAGTAGCGGAGGATTGCTGGCGCCGGTTAAGGCGTGGTCTTCGGAGACTGATGATGAACCGCGAATGGTCAGAGCCTGGGGCTTGTGTGTTAATTTGGCGGTGTGCAGTGATTCAACACTGGGTGGCAGGTGTGGACCCGCCATCACTGCCTCTCAGGCACCCAGGGCACCTGACAAGAAGCAGCCTGGGGTGGGGGTGGGGGGGAGGGAAGTGTCTCTGGCCCAGGAGCTCTGGAGTGAACATGAGATGGAATTTGAGGTCAGTGTTGTTTGGGGAGTGCAGGGCTTGTGTTTTTTTGTTTGTTTTTAAGATTTTATTTATTTATTCATGACACACACACACACACACACAGGCAGAGGCAGAGGGAGAAGCTGGCTTCAAGAAGGGAGTCTGACGTGGGACTCCATCCCGGACTCCAGGATCACGCCCTGAGCCAAAGGCAGATGCTCAACCGCTGAGCCACCCAGGCGTCCCGCACACTTTAGTTTTAATTTGTAATTTCCTAATAACAAATTATGTTGATCATCATATGCTTGTTTCCCATCTTTTTGTCTTCGATCAAAAGTCTTTGCTCATTTTTATAACTGAATTTTCTTGTCGACTTTTAAGAATTCTGTGTTCTGGATACCAGTCCTTTATCAGATATATGACTCATGTGATGGATGCTTAAATTCCCCTTTTTTCCCCCTAGGGATGTCTATGTGTTCTAGTATGATGTGTTGAAGTCTATCTTTTCTCCATTGAACAGCCTTTATACTTTGTCAAACAATTGAGTATATTTGCTTTGCGTGGGTCTTCTTCTGGGATCTCTATTCTGTTCTGTGTGTTTATCTTTTCAAGAATACTACATTACTATAGGTTTATAAGTCTTTTTTAAGTCTTTTTTTTAAGATTTTATTTATTCATTCATTCATAGAGACACAGAGAGAGGCAGAGACACAGGCAGAGGGAGAAGCAGGCACCATGCAGGGAGCCCGACGCGGGACTCCATCCAGGGTCTCTAGGATCACGCCCTGGGCTGCAGGCAACGCTAAAACGCTGCGCCACCGGGGCTGCCCGGTTTATAAGTCTTGAAATGCATTGATGTGAACCCTGTATGTATGATGGTTCTTTTTGGCCAGAATTGGTTTTTATATTTTCAGTGGAGAAACCCGGCAAACATACTTTACTAGATCAACATTAAGTCATTTTGATACTGCTACATATGACGATGAGAAAGGGACTTCAAGCCTTAGGTGTCTTTCCAAAATGCATTAACCAACCTAAAAGATGGACAATATGCAAAGGACCTGATCGGTACTCCTCAAAATAATTGAGAGATGAAAAAGACAAAAATGGTCACAGAAATGAGAAAATCGGGCAGCCCCGGTGGCGCAGCGGTTTAGCGCCGCCTGCAGCCCAGGGCGTGATCCTGGAGATCCAGATAGAGTCCCACGTCAGGCTCTCTCTATGGTGCCTGCTTCTCCCTCTGCCTGTGTCTCTGCCTCTCTCTCTCTGTCTCTATGAATAAAATAAAATCTTAAAAAAAAAGAAATGAGAAAATCAAGGAAACATGATTTCTAAATGCATTATTCTTGGACAAAAAAAAGAGTAATGGAAAAACTTGTGAAATATGAATAGAATCTGTAATTCAGTTGAGTATTATACAGTTTTTTTCTTAATTTGACAAATGTACCATGATTATATAAAGTGGTCACATGAGAGGAAGTTGAATAAGGTATATATGAACTCTTTGTGACTTTTAAGTTAATCTAAATTTTTCCAAAAATACAAAGTTTACTAAAAATAGGTATAACAGGACGCTTGAGTTGTTCAGTGGTTGAGCATCTGCCTTCTGCTCGGGGCATGATCCCGGGGTCCTGGGATTGAGTCCCATACTGGGTTCCCCGAGGTGAGCCTGCTTCCCCTTCTGCCCGTGTCTCTGCCTCTCTCTGTGTGTCTCTCATGAATAAATACGATCTAAAAAAAAAAGATATAATTTATGTCAATTGTATCTTTTTTTAAAAAAAGATTTATTTATTTATTTATTTATTTATTTATTTATTTATTTATTTATTTAGAGAGAGCGAAAGAGAGGCAGAGACACAGGCAGAGAGAGAAGCAGGCTCCATGCGGAAGCCCGACGTGGAACTTGATCCCGGCTCTCCAGGATCACACCTCGGGCTGCAGGCGGCGCTAAACCACTGCGCCACCGGGGCTGCCCTATGTCAATTATATCTTAATAAACTGGGAAAAATAGGTATGATTTTGTCACTTAATTTCCCATTGTAAACATATTTCCATATTATAAAATGTATATGCATGTCTCTATTATTAGTAGTAAGCAGCTGTAATAATATCTTGGTGAATTTGTAGGATGGTAACTAGAGCCACATAAAATGTAGGCATTAAAGTGAGGTTTATAAAATCTTCAATTATGTTGTTTCTATTTTGATCCTCTCATTATTCCAAATTCTTAACATTCTCACTGCAAGATTTGTTGTAATTTTTTTTCTTTTTTCAAAAAGGAATTTATTGGGACACCTGGGTGGCTCAGTGGTTGAGCGTCTGCCTTTGGCTCAGGTTATGAACCCGGGATCCTGGGATGGAGTCCCACGTCAGGCTCCCCCTGCTTCCCCTCTGCCTGTGTCTCTGCCTCTCTCTGCCTGTCATGAAGAAATAAAATAAAAACTTAAAAAAAAAAAAGAATTTACTTATTTATTTGAGAAAGAGAGCATGAGCATTAGGGAGGGGCAGAAGGAGAGGGAGAAGCAGACTCCCCACTGAGAAGGGAGCTTGATACAAAAGTGCATCTCTTTCCGCGGAGGGGTCCTGTTCCCGGGCTACTTAAGTAAACTTACTAAGTTATACCACGGTAACACTCAAGAATTCTTTCTTGACTACTGTGCTCACCAACCCCAAAACAACTCTGTACCGGTTGCCCAAAAATCTTTCTGTTCTTAAAAACAGCTTCTTGGAAGCAATTTTTCACCACAAGCTTTCCGTGGGTGTCCGTTTACTCCCTCCACTCCCCCCCCCCTTTTTTTTGGTCCAGAGTTCCTTCCTTGCTGCATCATCCACACCTGAACTTCTACTGACTGTTCTGAAATTTCCTTTTTTTAAAAAAATAGAGTGAAAAAAAATAAAAAAGAGTGGATAGTATATACCCTGATCTTGTTACTTCCTGCTCCACTCGCGAACACGATTTAGCTCACACCATTCTTGCCTCCGGGATCTTGAGTCTCTGAAAATCTAGTATTTTTCACACGAGTCAATACTGAGGAAATGAGATATGAGTGGCTTCTCACTATCGCGGCCATCCCTAGCTTGTGGCCCCAAACCGCCCCTTTGCCTTGTGCACATCAGGTGTCCAAACATGGCCGCCCCCATAGCCACAGAGAGCGGGCGCGGACATATTGCCTCCCTGAAAATAACAACACATAGTTGTTCGCCATGCTTCAAAGTCTTCAGGTCCTCCTCGGCCTCCATAGGCTGACGAAAATTCGGGGCGACGTTTCCAGCAGAAGTAGTTCGCGGAAGTGTTCGGTTTAGGCTCTCCATTCGGTCTAGAGAAAATCAGGTATGTGCTTTTATTCCTTGAAGATTTTTTTTTTCCTGTTTTGCCCCATAGGAGGTTTGTTTTTCTCACAGGATGACATGATGTTCACAGGGTGGAAGTGGAGTAGGGTGAACCTATGTAATTATTGGCGGGGATCGATTGGGCCGAAGGTGAAAGTGAGAAGAACCGGGTGAGAGTCTGACTCACCTGACTGTGGTTGGGATACTGTTGAGGTCATTAAGACGGTTTAGGGTCTGTAGAGACCAACCACCGTGTCCAAGCTGTCGAGAGTTTGGGGTTCTACAGATCGGTCCACTTGTCGGGAGTGCGGGTGGTGCAGATCATTTACGATGATCTCAGCGTCTGGTTCTGGTGGGGGATTTAATTTGGGGCTCAGTGATGTTGGGGCCTCGAGTGGATGCTCATCACATCAGGGTGTCTGGCCCGGGTTTCAGATTCGTAAGGGCGTGTGTGATCAGTGTCTGGTACAGAGACATGCATGTGAGGACTGATTGAGGTTCCAACCTCCGCTGCTGGGACAGAGGCTGCAGAGCCCAGAACAGTAGTTCAAAACCTGGTGTGTGTGTGTGTGTGTGTGTGTGTGTGTGTGTGTGTGTGTGTGTGTGTGTGTTTATAGTTTGAAACCCTCTGGTTGTGTGTGTATGTTTATAGATCGAAACCCTTTTGGGTGTGTGTGTATGTTCGTGTGTATTACCCTTTTGTGTGTGTGTGTGTGTGTGTGTGTGTTCGTGTGTATTTAAAGCCTTTGTCCAAAAAAATAATAATAATAATAAAGCCTTTGTCCAGGGATTAACTGCTGATGGAACGACTAAACCGCCGATCCCGTCCCCCGTCTGTTAGGCGTTGTCTGTGTCTGCTTTCCCGCGGCAAAGGAAGAATTGAGTCCTTGTGACAGAGATTAAAAAATTTATTTATTTATTTATTTATTTGAGAGAGAGAGAGAGCAGAGAGCACAAGCAGGAAGTGGGAGGAAAGAGGGGCCGAGGGAGAAGCCGGCTCCCCACTGAGCGGGGAGCCAGATTGGGGACTTGATCCAAGGATTCCGGGATCATGACTTGAGCTGAAGGGAGACGCTCCACGGACTGAGCCACCCAGGCGCCACGTGACAGAGATCTTAAAGTTGAAAATGTGTAATATTTATCCCTTTGCAGAAAATGTTGTCAACCTCTGAACTCCCCTCTTACTACTACATAGCAGCTGTGAACATGGTTGCTTACTTGCCTGACATACATTCACACTTTGTTCTTTGCTAACAGAATTTCCATTTTGTTTAGTATCCGTCCCTTCTGGAAGGTGACCCACATCTCAGTTTATTAGTAAGTACTGGTTGGTTTTAATCATGGTGGTTCCCCCTCTTACACTGTTGGTGGGAATGTGAACTGGTGCAGCCACTCTGGAAAACTGTGTGGAGGTCCCTCAAAGAGTTAAAAATAGACCTGCCCTACGACCCAGCAATTGCACTGTTAGGGATTTACCCCAAAGATTCAGATGCAATGAAACGCCGGGACACCTGCACCCCGATGTTTCTAGCAGCCATGTTCACAATAGCCAAACTGTGGAAGGAGCCTCGGTGTCCATCGAAAGATGAATGGATAAAGAAGATGTGGTTTATGTATACAATGGAATATTCCTCAGCCATTAGAAATGACAAATACCCACCATTTGCTTCAACGTGGATGGAACTGGAGGGTATTATGCTGAGTGAAGTAAGTCAATCCGAGAAGGACAAACAGTGTATGTTCTCATTCATTTGGGGAATATGAATAATAGTGAAGGGGAATATAAGGGAAGGGAGAAGAAATGTGTGGGAAATATCAGAAAGGGAGACAGAGCATAAAGACTCCTAACTCTGAGAAACGAACTAGGGGTGGTGGAAGGGGAGGAGGGCGGGGGGTGGGGGTGAGTGGGTGACAGGCACTGAGGGGGACACTTGACGGGATGAGCACTGGGTGTTATTCTGTATGTTGGTAAATTGAACACCAATAAAAAATTAATTTATTAAAAAATAATAAAAGATAGAGCAAGCTACTATGAAAAAAAAATCATGGTGGTTCCAATTCCCATTGCTAATGATCGAATTTCTGTGAAATGTGCAATTCTAGCCAGATATATGCAAAAATCTGCTAGTGGTTTCTTTCTGGAGGAGCATTTTCTCTCTCTCTCTCTTTTGTGTATTTTCTCTCTTTTATATTAGTAATTCTTTAAATCTTTTTCCAGGTCCCTGATGATACTGAGTATAATCTTAATTTTCATTCCAGTTTCCAATGTTTGTAATTTATTCTTATCTCCATGCATTGGGTCTACTCAGCAATTAGGTGGTAGTGGACATACATGTCCAATTGTTTACCCATAAAATTCACCTGCTATATTGTCTGGAGTTAACATGTTTTCAGGAGGGAGGGTTAGATCATAAAATTATGAACTCATCCAGGCTTAGTGACCTTAAAATGTTCATAGCATTTTTTCAAGATAAAAAAATGTCTATTTTACCTGAGTGATCCATTTCACTACAAATGGGTATGTTTTATTGGTCTTTTTTAAAAAATATTTTTATTTATTCATTCATGAGAGATACACAGAGAGAGAGGCAGAGACACAGGCAGAGGGAGAAGCTAGCTCCATTTAGGGAGCTTGACATGGGACTCCATCCCAGGTCTCCAGGTTCACACCCTGGGCTGAAGGTGGTGCTAAACTGGGCTGCCCTTATTGGCCTTTTTAAAGAACAGACTTTTGGCGTTGTTGAGCACTTCCATTTATTTGTTAATTTAAAAGATCTACAAGTTAATCTGTATAAAAGTAATATATTTTTATATAAAGCCATCATTGCCCAGGTCAAGAAACAGAGTGCTGCCAGCACCCATAGGTGTGCTGTGAGCCTCTTCCCAATTATATTGCATCTTCACACCCAAAGGCAGTTAATCGTCCAGTTGTTGATAATCAAGCACTTTAAGCCTTTTCTTTACAGTTTTGTCATATTAAAAAAATCATTCCTAATCGTATTTTATTTAGTTGTGCCTATTTCTGTGTGTCAGTGTAATTATACTTTATGCATTTTATTATATTTTTTATAGTTTATTTATTTTTTAAAAGATTTTGTTGATTCATAAGAGACACAGAGAGAGGCAGAGACACAGGCAGAGGGAAAAGCAGGCTCCATGCAGGGAGCCTGATGTGGGACTCGATCCCGGGACCTCAGGATCATGCCCTGGGCCTAAGGCAGGCACTAAACCACCGAGCCACCCAGGGATCCCCTTTTAATATGTTTTGATTAAAAAGTCATCTAAGTGCATTGCAGTTGCCCCACTTATTCTCAGTTTCTTATTCTCTCTCTCTCTCTCTTTTTTCCATTGTTTTGGATGAATTTCTTGTCCTTATATTATCCCCTTCTGTTAGTATGAAAATTATGTACATTAAGACAATTGTTAGATTTCATCATAACACTAGAGATTATATACAGCATAGAACCTTCTTTTGTCAAATTCTTATGTTAATTAGTACTTTTATACTCTTCTCCAATGATACAAGAATCTTTTTTTTATAAATTTATTTTTTATTGGTGTTCAATTTGCCAACATATAGAATAACACCCAGTGCTCATCCTGTCAAGTACCCACCTCAGTGCCCGTCACCCAGTCACCCCCACCCCCCGCCCACCTCCCCTTCCACCACCCCTAGTTCGTTTCCCAGAGTTAGGAGTCTTTCATGTTCTGTCTCCCTTTCTGATATTTCCCTCTTATTTTTTCTCCTTTCCCCTTTATTCCCTTTCACTATTTTTTATATTCCCCAAATGAATGAGACCATATAACGTTTGTCTTTCTCCGATTGACTTATTTCACTCAGCATAATGCCCTCCAGTTCCATCCATGTCAAAGCAAATGCTGGGTATTTGTCGTTTCTAATGGCTGAGGAATATTCCATTGTATACATAAACCACATCTTCTTTATCCATTCATCTTTCGATGGACACCGAGGCTCCTTCCACAGTTTGCCTATTGTGGACATTGCTGCTATAAACATCGGGGTGCGGGTGTCCTGGTGTTTCATTGAATCTGATACAGGAATCTTACAGCACTTCAACTTCACTTTCCAATTTATTTACAATATTCTGTATTTTTGTTTTTTATCTATTTAAAACATCCTAAGATATCATAAGACAATAATACATAATTTGTAAGCCAAAGCCTCTGATATGCCCTGTACTTTGGTTTTCAAACTGAAGTGCTTGTATTCACAGACTGTACAAAAGATTTGAAGAGGTACCTGAGCACTCATGGTTAAAGGAAAACAGTGCTCCATACTCCTTCTGTCTTACCTGTTTTATAAAAGGAATCTGCCTGAAATTCCTCTTCTCCTGAGGCATGATGCTGGGGTATATCTCATTTTCCTCTTCTCATGTCACACTCACCCCACTTACATATCACAGAGTGAAGGAAAACCTCCACTGGATTCAGAACCTCAGGCTTTGTTGGCCAGAAGAATAAACTTTCTGGGGCATCAAATAAAGGGACATTTGGTAGTACTGTGGTCATGTGTTAAAGTGAGTGCTCAGGACGAATGACAGCATCTGGGCCCATAGGAAATGCACCACTCAGACTACATTGTCTCCTTAACCCATAGGTCCTGATGCCCCAGGAGCAAAAGGATCATTTGAAGGAGGAAGAAGTTACAAGCTGTGATGTCAGTTTTTATGGGGACACACCTGACCAAGACAGATTTCTGAAGAGAAATTTAGAGTAGATCCAGAAACACAAAGCAGAGCTTCTCCACTGCCAGCTGTGTTCAGAGAGCAGAAAAAATGATCCAAGCTCAGGTGACTTTGGTTTATTTTATTCTTTCCTTTGTTCCCTAATAGATTTGGAGAGACCTGTAAAAAATCAGTTCCGTTAATCTGAAAAGCATATATATATATAATATATATATATGTATATATATTATATATAATCTCCTTTGTCATATACATATGGGTAGTGTTTTTAGGTTAATGAGAAGATTAGACTTTTACATGTTATAGAAACTTCTCAATGGATCAATGGATGGATGACTGAGTGCACAATTACCAAATATTTAATTAGGCATTTGCTTTTTCCACAATGTGTCAAAATAAAAACCCTGCTAGATGTCTAGAAACAACCTGTAGAGTGGAAATAAGCAGAAAAATTTTAACATTTCTTCTGTATCATCAAAAAGACAATCACTTCATTAGAGAACACTGTTATTACAGGAATCTCTGACATTTGATGATGTGGCTGTGGAGTTCACCTGGGAGGAGTGGCAGCTTCTGGCCCCCTTTCAGAAGAACCTGTACCGGGATGTGATGTTGGAGAACTATAGGAACCTGGTGTCAGTGGGTGAGGACAGCTGCCCTGTGTCACTTAGAGGGTCCCCATCAGTGCCCTTTCCTTTTTTGCTTCTTAAAGCTCTGTAGTGTTTGTGTTGCTCTGAAGTGAGATTCTTAGTGCCTTCCCTGGCTCCAGAGACATGGGTATCTTCTTCCTTCTCCTGAGTTCAAGCCTTTACTTTGTACATATGTGATATATATATTATGATGTTTGTATATATCATACACATATATATATGAAATATATGTATTTTTGGTCTTCATCTTGAATTTTTTTTTATTTTTTATTTATTTATGATAGTCACACACACAGAGAGAGAGAGAGAGAGAGAGAGGCAGAGACACAGGCAGAGGGAGAAGCAGGCTCCATGCACCGGGAGCCCGACGTGGGATTCGATCCCGGGTCTCCAGGATCACGCCCCGGGCCAAAGGCAGGCGCCAAACCCCTGCGCCACCCAGGGATCCCTCATTTTGAATTTTAGCAAAAGCTCCTATAACAGTTGTGATTTTCTAAGTTATAAGAGGGTAAAGATAAAATGGGTGTCTTTTGTTATTTATATAATAGGACTCAACTACATTTGAGTTTATGTTAATGAAATGATTTTTAGAAACCTGCTGTATAACCCAAGGATCGGATCTGGTTGCCAGGGGAACCAACCATTGTTAGAGGGATGGAGTTCCATCTCACTTCTGGAGAGGAGAAAAGAGCTGGAGTTTGAATCAGTCACTAAAGGCTAATGATTTAATTTAATTAACCATGCCTACTTAGTAAAGGCTCCATAAATACCCAAGAGGGCAGTTTTAGAGACCTTTTGAATTGGTGAACAAAAGAAGGTATGGGGAAAGTGCTCAGAGAGGGCAGGGAAGCTCCACACCCCTTCTCATATACCTTGTACTCTGTATCTCTGCCAGGTTGTGCCTGGGTTTATAATAAACCAGTAATGTAATAAGTAAACTTTTCCTGAGTTCTATGAGTTCTTCCAGCAAATTAATTGAACCAGAAAAGGAGTCATGGGAATCTGTGATCCATACATATTCTATCAGAAGCTCAAGAAACAACTTGGACTTGTGATTGGGGAAGTCTGAGGGGAGTGGAGAGATTGTGCAGTCTTGTGGGAGTGAAGCCCTAACCTGTTAGATCTGAAGTTATCCCGAGGTAGAGAATGTCAGAATTGAGCTAAATTGTTGGACACCCAATTAGTGTCTTTGGGTGTCACAAAATTCTTTGGTGTGTGAAAACCCCATGTATCAGGGGTCAGAACTGAAGTACTGTAGTAGAGTATCAACAGTAGAGGACACACACAGTGCAGTATGTTTTTCCTTTATGTTGTGAAAATTGTTTTATCCTTTACTGTAACATTCTATGGTCTCCCCAGTCCCCAAGCCCAAAGCTTAGCCTTCTGTCATTTCACATGAACAGGTTTTCACACCAGTAAACCAGATGTGCTCTCCAAGTTGGACCAAGGAGAACCAACATGGACGGTGGAAAATGAAATCCCCTGTCGAACCCGTTCAGGTGAGTGAGAGAACTGGAGGGGGCCAGAACTGTAGAAATCATATTCTAGTTGGTCACATAAAAGACACAGCTGTGAGAGGGTTTGAGGGTCAGTAGGCAGTGCCTCCCTGTGTCTCTCTCCTGATATGTAACCTCTTTTGCTTTGTAGGAATTTAGAGAAAAATGTGCCTTTTACCTATTCTGGGATCTAGTCCAATTTTATCTACATCTTAAATTTTTGCTTGTTTGCATAGTTCTCTTTTTCTTAGTATTCTCAGATCTTTCCTTCTTTATGCTCTTCTACCTTCCTTGTCATTTAAGTCTACTGTCCAAAAGTCTCTTTCCAAAGAGAAAACTGAATTCCTTACTGTCTTCTAACTATTGCACCTTTCTGTCCCATTATTAATGTTGATTTTTCCTTCCTAACCTCCTTCCCATCCTGGATGCTGTGGCCCCAAAATAAACTGGTCTTCGCTGTGCTCTTGTCTTCACTTTGAGGTCCTCCAAAGGTTCTGTTTTCCATTTTCTCATTGGGTCTCCTAACCTTTCAAACTTTCTTTTTTTAAACCTTATTTATTTAAGTAATCTCTACACCTAATATGGGACTCCCACTTGTAGCCCTGAGATCGAGTCACATGCTCCTCCCTGAGCCAACGAGCCACCTCAGATTTTATTCTAATAAGCTGAGCTTCTCCTGTTCCCTGCAGGAGACTCTCAAATTGACATCTCCCCAAAGTGATCCAGCAGACTTCAGTTCTGTGTAATCCACTCATCCCCCTTCCCCTGGCAACTCTCCTGAGAGCCCAATAAGTGCAAGGAACTCACATCATCTTCTTTCCCAGAGACCCCCCCGTTAAGTTTAGGTTCTTCTTTACTCCTGTGATTCTTAGGGCCTGGCCATCCCAGCATTACCTTAGATGTTCCCTGTCTGCAGAGCTCTCTTCCTTAAAGGAGTCTCTTGTTCATAAATTACAACTAAGAAGATATTTTAGCATCCTCCATTCTTGCCTAAGCCAGATCAAAACTCCTTTCTACTTTGATTTAATGCCTTTGTGTATTTATTAATTTTCAACTTTCTTCGTGTTCATTTTAGGTGTTGTACTGTTGTGTTCATTTCCCTAAAACTTTTATTTTTTTTCCATCATATTCTGATGACATTAGGTCCCAATTAACAACATTACCTATCATATAACATGAAATTCTTCTTTCTGTGATCTCCATAACATATTATCTTGCTCAGAGTTTCATCATCTTTCCTACACTCTCCCCACTGTATTCTGTACATGTGATTGCTTCCTTCATTCATTCCTTTCAAAATTATTTTTTTGATAGCTCAGCAATGTATGCTTGAGGGTAAGAGCAGTGAGAAAAATGCATACAAATAGACCAAGAACTTTCATTCTAAGAGAAGTTTTCAAAAAATTAAAATAAACAAATGAATCATAAGCATAGGGGGTGAAAAATACTCTAATAAAAATTTAGTCACCATAATAGAAACATAGAGGCTTGATCTCCAGTTTAGGAATGGAACACCCCCCTGATACGGAGCCTTAGAGCCAACCGGTGAGAGAAATTAGCAGGCTACTGGATTTGGAAGTGTTTCAAGTAGAGAGCATAGCAAGTTTAAAAGCAAAAGCCCAAAGCAGAGCATAGTAAGTTTAAAAGCCCAAAGTCCTTAATGAGAAACATTAAGGAGCTGTGTGGACAGAGTGGAGTGTGCTGTCGGAACATGATGGAAATAAGACCAAAGAGGCAGTAGCAGCAGGGAGAAGGGAGAGTAAGATCAGTCAAGTAATCCATTTCAAGGAATCATGATTTTACTTCTAATAAGGTGAGAAGGGACGCCTGGGTGGCTCAGCGGTTGAGCATCTGTCTTCGGCTCAGGGCGTGATCCCGGAGTTCTGGGATTGAGTCCCACTTCGGGATCCTTGCATGGAGCCTGCTTCTCTCTCTGGCTGTGTCTCTGGCTCTCTCTCATGAATAAATAAATAAAATCTTAAAAAAAAATGTGAGAAAACATGACCTGTTCTTGAGTACTGGAATGACATGAAATAATTATGTTTTCAAAGAATCCTTTTGGCTTTTGTGTAGACAGTAGTGGGCAGGGGTGCTATATAGGAGGTTGTTGCACAACATGATAGTAGGTTTCTTGGCTTTGGTATGGGTGGAGGGGGAAGTGTTGGTCACTGTCTGGATGTCGTCATTACAGAGGGCAGATGAAATTCTACATTATATATGGGCTGCATGAGATGAAGGAATGAATGGAGGTTGAAGGTAAGGCTCTGGGGGTGAAAATGGCTATAAGGAACATTGAAACAGTATGACTGAATAATGAGTGGTTGGCCTTGGCTATGATTAGGGGAATAGGAAATCCTTATTAAGGTACATTTGGAAAAAAAAAAAAAGGTACATTTGAGCAGGTAGATGAGGAATTTCAGTAGGTTCCTTGGGTAAGGAATGTTCCAAAGTAAAAGTGGAAAGTTCAAAGGCCTGGGGCAGCAGTGTGGTCTGAAGAATGAGAAGGTCAGTGGGGGTAGTGGCTGGGGATTGGGGTAGAAGGTCACATAAGGGCCTTTCAAGGACATGCTAAGACCTTGACTTTATTCCTCTTGAGATGAGAAAACTTTAGGGAGTTTTGAGTGGAGGAGGCTTGACATGATATGATTTATGTTTGGAAGGTTCACTTTGGCTGTTCTCTAGAACGTAGACAGGAAGCTGGCGGGGCAGGAACAGGAAAGCCAAGTAGGAGGCTGCTGTTATAAAACAAGAAAGCGACTGGCTTCTGTGAGGGTGGAAGGCATTGGTGTTGGTCCAGTTCTGGTTATGATTATAAAGAGGGCAGGCAGCATTGCTACTGTGTGTAAGTGAGAGACAAATGACAGGAGATGCTGAGAAGTTCTGTCCTGGTTAAAGGGAAGAGTGGAGGTGTCATTCACTCTGATGGAGGTGATATGTGGTGGAGGAGATTTGAGATGGGAAATCAGGAGTTCCCTTTTGGATGTTACAGGTTGCATATGCTTGGAGCCCAGCATGTATAATTATCATTGCTCCCCAAGGCCAACCATGACAATGAATCCTTCAGGGAGGCCTGTCTTCCTCCACAGTGTCACTTGATTTCTTGCATCTGTGTCCATCTCCATTGCTCCTTCATACCAGTTTTCATAACATGCAGCTGTTTTCCTTGTGTGTTGCTTTTTTTTTTTAAGATTTTTTAAAAAATTATTTATTAGAGATGGGGGGAAAAAGAGAGAGAGAGAAAGAGGGAGGGAGAGAGAGGCAGAGACACAGGCAGAGGGAGAAGCAGGCTCCACACAGGGAGCCTGATGTTGGACTTGATCCCGGGTCTCCAGGATCATGTCCTGGGCTGAAGGCAGTGCTAAACCTCTAAACCACCAGGGCTGCCCTGTTGTGTGCTTCTTTGCCCTTTATAGTTTTATCAAACTGCAGTGTAGGCTCCCTGAACATGAGGACTCTGTGTGTGTCCCCAGCTTGAGCACCATGTCCCGACAGTGGTCCTCAGTAAGGATTTGTGAAGTGAATAAGTCTTCCTGTCACCAGTTTGGATGAGGTAGGCCTCCAACCTGTGGTCTGCTGCTCATGGTAAACTGCATGTAGTGAAATACACAGGCTCTGTATGTTTTGTAAGGCCTCATTTAAAAATCAGTCAGATCTACATTTGTTTATTGTGAATGATCTTTGTTTTAATACTTTTCTCTTTTGGTTTATCTATATTATTTTATCTGATGTGCAAGGAACATTAAATGTGGAGATTTATTGATACTCTAATTTCATAGAGTCATCACTACATAGGCATATGACATCAAAGGAGTCTTTTAATCGTGTTTTGTCCAAATCAAGATGATAAATAAATTCATTATTTCTTTCTTTTCTAGAAATCTGGAAACTTGACTATTTGCCAGAGCACTTACAAAACAAAATCATGGAGAATAATCTTGAACAATGGCATGAACTTAAAACATTTGAAAATAATGTTCATCAGAGCACAACTCATTTCATGTTAAGGCAAAATCATGATATGTATGACTTATATGGAAAAACTGTAAAGCCAAACTTAACTTTATTTAGCCAGAGCAGAAGCTGTGAAATAAAGAACCCTGCAGATCTTACTGGAGATGGAAAATCCTTTCTACATGCTAATAATGAACAATTTCATACTAAAATTATATTCCCTGAAAGCAGAAAACTTATCAGTACTAAGTCCCAATTCATTAAGCATCCGAAAAAGCAAAAAATAGACAAGACTCATGTATGTAATGAATGTGGGAAAGCCTTTATCAAGAAGTCATGGCTCACTGATCATCAGATCATTCATACAGGAGAGAAACCCCACAGGTGCAGTCTGTGTGGGAAGGCATTCTCCAGAAAGTTCATGCTCACTGAACACCAAAGAACACATACAGGAGAAAAACCGTATGAATGCACTGAATGTGGCAAAGCCTTCCTGAAGAAATCACGGCTCAATATACATCAGAAAACGCATACAGGAGAGAAACCATATATATGCAGTGAATGTGGAAAAGGCTTCATCCAGAAGGGAAATCTCATTGTACATCAGCGCATCCATACTGGAGAGAAACCTTATATATGCAATGAGTGTGGGAAAGGCTTCATCCAGAAGACGTGCCTCATAGCACATCAAAGATTCCACACAGGAAAGACTCCCTTTGTGTGCAGTGAATGTGGAAAATCCTGTTCCCAGAAGTCAGGTCTCATTAAACATCAAAGAATTCACACGGGAGAGAAACCCTTTGAATGTAGTGAGTGTGGGAAAGCCTTTACCACAAAGCAAAAGCTCATTGTCCATCAAAGAACTCACACAGGCGAAAGACCCTATATCTGCAATGAGTGTGGGAAAGCTTTTGCCTACATGTCCTGCCTCGTTAAACATAAGAGAATACACACAAGAGAGAAATGTGGAGATTCAGTCAAAGTGGAAAATCCTCCCTCAGAGAGTCATAGCTTATCACAGACCAGTGGTGCCATGCAGGGGAAAGACCTTGTTAATACAGTGACTATGCAAGTGCCTTCTGTGGCTTGTCAGACGCCATTACACATCAGTGGGCTCTTAGCAAATAGGAATGTGGTCATAGTGGGACAGCCTGCAGCCAGATGTGCACCCTCAGGAGACAACAGAGGATCTGCACAGGACAGAAACCTTATGAATGCAGTGAATGTGGTTGTGCCTTCAGTGGTTAATTATGTCCTATTTTATGTTGCAGAAAACCAGTAGGAAAAAAACTCAGAAACATTCTGTGTGGAGAAGGGTTGCACAAAAGTTTCTAGGTCATATTATGTCAGAAAAGTATATTCAGAGAGAAACTGTAAATTCTGAGGCTAGGAAAGCTTGATCTCATCCTATTAAAAATATGTATTGATACACAGGCGTAATCTGATGTTAACTCAAATACATACACACACCTCAGTTGCTCCATTTGTGTCTGTTAAAGGAATGAAGGAAGTCTTAGTTCAATAAGTGGAGGAAATAGGGGGATCCCTGGGTGGCGCAGCAGTTTGGCGCCTGCCTTTGGCCCAGGGTGTGATCCTGGAGACCTGGGATCAAATCCCACGTCGGGCTCCCCGTGCATGGAGCCTGCTTCTCCCTCTGCCCGTGTCTCTGCCTCTCTCTCTCTCCCTGTGTGACTATCATAAATAAATAAAAATTAAAAAAAAATAAGTGGAGGAAATAGGTGAATTTTAAAAACACACAAGTAAGTGTGCCTGGAATACTGCTATGAATGAAAAATCAGGAAAGGGATAATATTAGGTGGGTGGGATATGGGGCATGTATATAGCAATTCGGTTTCTACAGGCCAAGGTAAAGGATTAATTGGAAACTAAACTCTTGGAAGTTTATTTTATGCAGAGGCACTTAATGAAACAGCAGCCTTAGGTTGAGTCAGTTCATTCATTTACCGAATATTTGTTAAATACTCCCTTTGTACTGGGTTTTGTTTGAGGAGCTGAGGATACAGTGGTGACCAAAACAAAAAGCCCATGGTTTCTTGGAGAGAGCACTGAGGTAACTGGATTATTTTTTAGTGGTACATTTACTCAGCTTATCTAGTAAGAGGATGTAAATATCTGTATTACGTGAAATACTGTCTTGGTTCATTCTGGCTGTTATAAGACCATACAGTAGCCTGTATGGCTTACAGAGAAAGAAATTTATTTAAAAAAAAAGTGCAAAGTTCCTCTATAATGAAAGTTTCAAAACTTTCTAAATGACATATGATAAGTCTTGAATAAATAATGAAAACAAATTATTTCTGTTTTGGAAGCTGCAAGGTCTAAGATCAAGGTGCTGGCATATTTGGTGTCTATGGAAGGTCAGCTTCTTGCCTCACAAGGTACTCATCTCATTGTGTCCTCACATAGGGGAAGGGGAGAGGCATTTTCTGCGATGTCTCACAGGGGTACTAATCCTATTCATGAGTGTTCTATCATCATGACTTAATCACCTCTTAAGGACCCACTTCTAAATACCATCATATTTGTGACTAGCTTCAATATATAAATTTGGGGGGGGGGATACAAACAGTCCACAGAAGATAATGGAGTACATAAGTCCCCTCTTATATGGGGGATATGTTCTAAGACCCCCAGTGGATGCCTGAAGCTAGGATAGTGCTGAACTCTATAGTTTTTTCTTTTTTTTTTTTTTTTTAAGATTTTATTTATTTACTCATGAGAGACATAGAGAGAGGCAGAGACACAGGCAGAGGGAGAAGCAGGCTCCACGCAGGGAGCCTGACGTGGGACTCGATCCTGGGTCTCCAGGATTGCGCCCTGGGTTGAAGCCGGCGCTAAACTGCTGAGCCACCCAGGCTGCCCTATAGTTTTTTCTTATACATACACATCTATGATGAAGTCTAGTTTATAAATTAGACATTGTAAGAATTAACACTAAAACTAATAATAAAATAGAACAATTATAACTGTATACTATACTATATACTGTAATAAAAGTTATATGAATATGTTCTCTCAAGACATTTTATTGTCCTGTACTCACCCTTCTTCCTGTGATGACGTGAGATGATAAAATGCCTATGTGATACGGAGTAGGAATTGTGACTTAGAGTTAGGCTACTGTTGATAGGATCATCTGCTTCCGGACCACCTTTGATTTCAGGTAACTGAAACCCCTGAAAGTGAAACCATGGATAAGGGGTGACCACTGTAACTGGTTCAAGGGATTGTGGTAATTTCTTGTTCAAGGGGTATATTACTTCAGTGGAGGCAAGGACTCTTATTAAAGGACTTTAAAGCAACATAGGATTTAAGTAAGTTATTATTATTTAAAGACTTTACTCATGAGAGACACAGAGAGAGGAAGAGACATAGGCAGAGGATGAAGCAGGCTCCCCACAGAGCCCAATGCAGGACTCGATCCCAGGACCTAGGATCACATCCTGAACCAAAGGAGGCTGCCATTCAACCATTGAACCACCAAGGCATCCAAGTAAGTTATTTTTTTAATGTCCATGTCTTAGCTTTCCAAGTAGATTGAAAATTCCTTGATTTTTTTTGCTATTTAAATTTTTAAAGTTTTATTATTTATTTATTTTTTAAATTTTATTTATTTATTCATGAGAGACACAGGCAGAGGGAGGAGCAGGCTCCATGCAAGGAGCCTGATGTGGGACTCGATCCCGGGAATCCGGGATCATGCCCTGTGCCAAAGGCTCAACCGCTGAGCCATCCAGGTGTCCCTAAATTTTAAAGTTTTAAAAACAAAATAAATCACTTCCTCAGTTGCACTAAACCAAGTTTCAAGTGCTCAGTAGCCATATGTGACTAGTGGCTACCCCATTGGGCAGCACACTGAGCCAAATTTTGTAGCTAATTATATGGCTAAAAAGCACAGACTGAGAAATCTGTCATAATTTCCAGAAAGTTATCTTGGATATTGGTTTGCATGATTTTCTATTTCCCAGCACAGAAAAATTAAGGCAAATATGTTGACTTGGAAAGTGAATAAATTAGTGAACTAGTCAGAATGTTTTGTCATTGAAGGAAGCAGTAAGTCATTCGAAGGTAGTTCTAAAGAACACAGATACTGTCTTCCAAATGGAGTGTGATCGGAGACTCAATAACTGAATATAAACCGGGAAGAGCAGAAAAAAGGGATCCTCGGGATAAATAGAATAAAGAAGACAAGAGTCTCAGTCTCTAAGAACGGAGGAAACTATAGGAAATGGGAGATAAGTTCCTTTTTTTTTTTAAGATTTTATTTATTCATGGGAGACAGAGAGAGATAGAGACACAGGCAGAGGGAGAAGCAGGCTCCATGCAGGGAGTCCAACGTGGGACTTGATCCCAGGACTCCAGAATCACGCCCTGTGCCAAAGGCAGGCACTAAGCTGCTGAGCCACACAGGGATCCCCAGCAGATGAGTTCCTTAAGGGAAGTCATGGAGAAGAACCTTTGTGTTTGTCCACAAAACTATCACCCTTGAGAGGTGCCACCATATCAAAGATTCATTCCAGCTGTAATGATTGCTGCTGAATTGAGAAATGTGCTTTCTCTTCATTATTCCTTCTTCCTCTCCTGGGAGTGGGGCTCTTGGCCTCTCAGTACTGAGTAATTTGCCTTAATCTCATAAATATCACATAGTTATCCACCTATCCAAGTTATAGTTTTCTCAAAGGAAAAGAAATGGAAATTTCCCATCCTATGGCTCTCAGCATTTAATCTGAAATACCAGGTTATTGGTATTCATTCCTTCAGATATACTTTGAAGTATTAACACTATGCAAGGCACTGTTCTGTACAGTGAGGCCACATTACTGAACAAAACAGGCAAAGATACAGCCTTTATGGATTTTACAGTATAATGAGGGAGAGACACTGGATTACATAATCTTGGAAGGTGATGAATCCTAAGAAGAAAAATTCTAGTAATACTAGTTTATAGTAATGTATGGATAGTAATATGAGAGGCTCTTCCCACCTTCGCACCCCTCCGTGGGCTTTTCTGGATAAAATTTGAGTGAAGACAGAAGCAGTGAGAGGAGTTACCTATCATATTTGCAACTACAGAACATTTTACAACTGTTTTTAATGATTGTCTGTGACAGGCCTCTTGTTTCAGATCCTCTGAGAAACTTAAATGAATGCAGATTCCTAAGTCACACCCCATGCATCCTAAACCAGACTCTGGCTAGAGTCCAGGATTCTGAATTTTTAACAATGACCTGGTGAACACCCAAATTTAGCATTCTTTGCCCTAAAAACTGGATTACTGCCCTCCACCACACTCACATTAAAATGGGATGGATTCAGTTGGTGCCTTTCTCATTGGCTCCAGGCCTTTGTTGGCTTCTGTTCTGGTGGTCTTTTTCCCAGGCTCCAATCCCAATTCCAATTTAGGTTGTTCCAGCTGCTCTTTCCCTCTAGTGGGTGATGCCACACTCACACTGTACCAGTTTCTGGGAATCTTGTGTTTCTTAAAAACTGCTTTCACAATCTTTCCCTCTAGGCTTTTATTGGATGTCCTTTACAGTCCTTTTTTTTAATTTTAAAGATTTTATTTATTCATAAGAGACACACAGAGAGGTACAGACACAGGCAGAGGGAGAAACAGGCTCCATTCCATGCAGGGAGCCTAACCTGGGACTCAATCCTGGGTTTTCAGGATCACACCCTGGGCTAAAGGTGGCACTAAACTGCTGAGCTACCCGGGCTGCCCTATAGTCCTTTTCTTTTCTTTTTTTCTTTTCTTTTCTTTTCTTTCTTTCTTTTCTTCTTTTCTTTCTTTTCTTTTTTCTTTCTTTCTTTCTTTCTTTCTTTCTTTCTTTCTTTCTTTCTTTCTTTCTTTCTTTCTTTCTTTCTTTCTTTCTTTCGATTTTTATTTATTTATTCATGAGAGAGGCAGAGACACAGGAAGAGGGAGAGGCAGACTCCCTGCAAGGAGCCCAATGCGGGACTGGATCCTGGAACTCCAGGATCAGGACCTGAGCTGAAGGCAAAGGCTCAACCGCTGAGCCACCCAGCTGTCCCACAGTTCGTTTTTCTTACCAAAAGTTCATTCACTGCTGCTCGTGGACACTTGCATTCATAGTCCTCCGTTTGGAAACTTTTTCTTTTTTTAAAGATTTTATTTATTTATTTGAGAGAGACAGAGTATGTGGAGGGGAAGGGGCAGAATAAGAGAATTTCAAGGGAAGGTCCCGTTAAGGACAGGCTCCAGGTGGGTGGGGGGAATCTCAAGACCCTAAGATCATGACCTGAGGGGAAATCAAGTCAGGTGCTTAAGGTACTCAGCCACTCTGACGCCCCTGGAAACCTTTTAAATACAAAGTGGATAATATACCTCTCGGCCATGTAACTTCCTGTCCAGCCTGCGGAAGGCAGTGTAACCTGCACCAGGTTGGCCTCCCCAAGCTCCAGACTGAAAATTTACCATTCTTCCGCAAAAGTAGACGTTGAGGATGTGGGATTATTTCAGTGGCTTCCCATCTCCACATGCTTCAGTTGCTCTGGCCCAAATTCGCACCTTTGCCTTGCGTAGTCCAATGTTCCAACATGGCCGCCCCCGTGGCCACCTGGAGGGTTTACCCGCACTTTGTCTCTGCAGAAATACCAGAAACCGTTGTTCAGTTTTCGGAAGGCCTGAGATCCTCGTACACGGAATATCAACATTTGGGTTCTTCCTTTGGGTGTGGAAAAAACCAGATCGCTGTGTGGTTTTGTCCCTGAAAATTGTTTTTTGTTTTGTTTTTGCTGCAGTAGAGGTTTTGCTTCTCACGGAGTGACGTGTACATGTGCTGTAGTATGGACTCATGAAATCATCGCTGGTGGCGGATGGGGGGTAGCGCTGACGTGGAGGAATTTGAGAAGCTGGTGGGACTTTGATTTGAGGTTTTAACAATATAAAGATACTCATAATGTTCTTTCAGGCGCCAGGCAGGTCACTCTGTGGTTGGGGTACTGTGGAGGTCATTAAGACAGTTAAGGGTCTGTAGAGATCAACCGCTGTCTTGACTCTCCAGAGTTTGGGGTTCTGCAGATCCGACCACTTGTCGGGGTGTGGGCAGTGCAGATCATTTACCGTGATCTCAGCGTCTGGTTCCGGTGGGGGATTTGATTTGGGGCTCAGTGATGTTGGGGCCCCGAAGGGATGCTCATCACATCGGGGGGGTCTAGCCAGGGTTTCAGATTTGTAAGGGCGTGTGTGATCAGTGGTACAGAGACATGCATGTGAGGGCTGATTGAGGTTCAACCTCCGCTGCTGGGACAGAGGCTGCAGAGCCCAGAACCGTGTGTGTGTGTGTGTGTGTGTGTGTGTGTGTGTGTTGTTCAGGGATTGACTAACTGCAGAGGGATTACACCACCGCTCCCATCCCCCATCTGTTAGGCGCCGTCTGTGTCTGGTTTCCTACAGCAAAGGAAGGATTGAGTCCTTGTGACAGAGATCTTAGAGTTGAAAATGTGTAGTATCTTTCCCTTTGCAGAAAATGTTTGCCAGTGTCTGCACTCACCTCTTACTACACAGCAGCAGTGAACCCTGTTGCTTACTTGCTGTTTGTTCTTTGTAACAGAATCTCCACATTTTGTTTGGCATCCCTCCCTCTGGCAAGGTGACCCATATCTTGGTTTGTGCTGGTTGGTCTTAGTCATGATGGTTCCAGTTCCCATTGCTAATGACCGAATTTTTGTGAAATGAGCTTAGTATATAATA